ATAGCATTCACTAAAACTGTAGGATGGTTAGTTCACTGCCAAACTGCATGTTTTATCCACAGAGTATCGCATTACATTGTAAAGTGTAAACTGTGTGGCATGTTGCTGCAGATGTGAAACTGCACAGACCTGTGCAGGGAGGCAGAATAACACATTAAAATTTCATATTAGACTAAGTTCAATATTATCAACTGGTGGCTAGTGGTAGGTAAACATGTGACATGGAGCACAGCAGCAAGCACACAAACACATGATTTCACACGTATACAAGAGCTCACACTGTTGTACACACACAACCATGCGATTGGTATGCACACGTGCACATAGACACACAATAGGAAATCTGGATGCTGACAGAAGAGTAGTAATTAGGACTATGTGCTGTGGATATTCTTGGTACAATACTGATCAGTGTCATCTGTGTGTGTCTGTGTGTGTGTGCGTGTGTGTGAGAGAGAGAGAGAGAGAGAAAGTCTGCTGCTGCCACTGCTGCTGCAGCCCACAGTTTCCATGGTAACGTCGGAACCCATCTTGGTCTCTATGGTAACTTGTGGTTGGCACCCACAGAGAGAGAGAGAGAGAGAGAGGAAGGGAAGAAAGAGAGAGGAGGTGAAGACATAGAAGTGAGGGATGAGAGAAAGAGTTTTAGTAAAGTCCTCTTAATTCAAGTTGTCTGTGAAGAGATCTGCTTCTGTCTTTCTCTCTCATTTTTTTCTCAGTGTTTAGTTTTGTTGAGTTAGAGAAGAGGGGGTTGCTGGTTCAAATCCAAGGTGCAGGGCACCAAGAGGAGCAGAGCGTGTGATGGAGTGTTGAGCATATGACTGTGAAAATTCTACTTTATTCTCTTTTATTTGGGTAGCCTTGGAGTTTGTTAAAAATCTGCACCATTGTCTGACTGCATGATTTCTTTTTGCCCCTATCTGACATCTGAGTTCCCAGACTTAAAAAGTCTCTTGTTGAGTCCAGTATCATTAGAATAATGGCCTCTGTGTGTTCTTACTCCATTTGTCTCAGTTATGGTACTTCATTTGTCTTTTCTCCTCCTTAACCAAACTTGCATCATTAGCCTGCTAATAGGAGGCAAACTTGCAATATGCACAAGTCCAGACTCTTGTACTTAGATTCACTGCAGTTGCTGCCCCTAAATAAATCATTACTGGATGTTGGCAGTATGTTACTGTATAGTTGCACAGATATATTTCATGTCCAAGCAGAAAAAAGTCAGTCAATGTCTATGGTTTGCTGCTGACATGAGTTCGGATATGCAGCATTACAAGGGCTGGATTTTGGAATTTAATTTTAAGATTAAATACAGGAATATTTATTGTATATTTTTGCTGCCAAGTGTTAAATCATTCTCTTTTGTCCACCTTTCCCTCACTGCAAATGCATGTGCTGTGGACATGTTGAATAAGCAAGAAGTTTTGAAATAAAAATATTATCTTGTTAGTTCTCCTGCTGTTTTGTGTTTTCATGGTTGAGTTGCTGGTACAGTCTGTTCAAGGTTTTTTTTTTTCTGTTTTTCTTGAACTATTGAAAACTGCATGTTGCTGTGTGTCTGTGGGAACTTTCAAAAACAGCTTAATGGCTAATCCTGTCTTGCAGCACACACACACACACACATACACAGAAGGTCACGGCGAATGGAAACATTGTCCGCTGTATGGTAGAATGTCGATACTATAATCTGATTGGCCCAGTTGATGGATAGGCGGTTTGGTTGACCTATCACAGATAACTGAATTATTGCTCCCACATACTCACCTTTCTGTCATTCTGTCTGCCTTCTTCTCTCCCTCACTCTGTCTCTTTAGTCTCTCTCTCTCACTCTCTCTCATCCATCCCCCTCTTCTCTCTCAGGCTCTCATCTTTTCCTCTCTCATTTCTTTCCACTCACTAACCAGATTATTCGTTCCCCTTATGGATTTTGCCCTTTATGGGTCTGTATGAACGGAAGGGAAGGAGGCAGAGACGTGTATCTGTATGTGTTTATGTGTGTCGGGCTGAGCTGTTGCTACCAGATGTTTTTCTCTGTTTTATTCTTCAGAGCGCCACACTGTCTGCCTGTCACCAGCAGATACACAGCCTGTGTGTGTGTGTGTGTGTGTGTGTGTGTGTGTGTGTGTGTGTGTTGCGAGAGAGAGAGTGACAGAGAGCTTTTGTGTGTTTGAGAGGGAGGATATGTGCGTATGTGTGTGTGAGATTAATTACTTCCACATAGACTACTAATACTAACCGTGTGTTGGGGGGTCTGCAGTACAGATGATAAATAGAAAAACAATCAGTTCTTGAGGCTCTGAAACTGACACACTGAGAGAGAGAGAGAGAGAGAGAGAGAGACGGACAGACAGACAGACAGACAGACAGAGAGAAGGAAGACAAGTGTGTAATGTGAAAATCTCTAAGTCGGATACTTTTGTGCAAATGAAGAACACTGGATGGACCAAAATGAGAAGAAGACAAAGACAAGACAGAGAAAAGACAAAATAAGTTCAATACAGACTTTCTGGCCTAAAAATCAACTTGCCTTTCAAGTTGTCTGTCTCTCAAACTGTGCATATCATCTCTATTATAATTCATGGCATACCTTACACTGTCAAGCCACTTCCAAATCAGAGTTTGTATGATAATCAGATCATTATGAACAAAGACTCAAAGCATGAGTCTTTTATTAATATCTAGCAGTTGTAATTGTGTATCAGCTGTGATTCATGAGTCACTTTTGATGTAGTGCGTGCTGACAGTTATGCATATATACCACTCTGAAAATCCAAATCAAATAAACACCTCTCTAACCCTTTGAGAAAATTAAGTTTACGGTACAAATGGAACAGTGGAACCACCGCAGTCGTGTCAAAACTGTGGTTACATGAATCACTGATTCCCATGGTCCAGGGTATGTGTGCATGTGTGCACTATGTAACTGGCCCACTGGTAGTTTGACACAGTCTTTCTCCATGCTGAGAAAGTTGTTTGTTTAGCTGGACTCACTTTAGACTCACACCAGCCTGAACAGCAAATCTTAATGCAGCCACTGTATACATGAGCTTATCCAACACTAACATGGGCTTTTAATGTTAACAGTGCTTTTTTACTACTGCGTTAAAGACAGAGCATTTGAATAAAACACATTTGTAGAAATTTAACTCTATGTTAAATATTCAGTATCTTATTCATACAATGACCAGAAAGTAGATTCTACAGCACTTGACTTGCCTTCCTTTTGAGAACTCATATCAGTAAATACGGAGAAATATATAATCGTTCTTTTGTTCACAGCGTGTTATTGTACTGGAGTTAATTCTGTTGTATTTGAGTTTATTTTTTATTAAATCATACACATTTTTAACCCTCACTTTTCATGATAGTACTGTTGCCATTAATACCTGCCCCTTCAGCGATCACCTACTCCCTTAATTTAGCTTGCTAGCTCCTCCTTGCTAGGACAACAATAACGCCAAGGTAACTCAGACTTAGCCGACCAGCCGCTGCTGTACATGCAAGCTCTAGTTTTAATGCCTGGTGAGCAATGGTAATGATCCAAACTAGCTAGTTTTCTGGCTTTCATAAACTTTTTAATTTGCCTTAGAATGTGAATGTAACATAACCAGGCTATAGTGCGTTGATAGAATACTTATAGGACAATGCACTAGTTAATATGCCTGAATAAATTGCCTATTAACTAAATCACATCTTCATTGACAGCATCATTTTGTGAGGATTCTTTGCTAGCCCTTGCTAGTTTGTTTGTGAGGCCATTTTGGTAAACTTAGACACTACTAAAGCCTCGTCCCTCCAGATTCAGGTTTAACTAATTCTTCCCAGGGGCCAGAGCCTGGAGAGACCTGACTGGCCTTCTGTCCCAAACCTCTGGCCCTCTGTGATTGTGTGTCCGTGGGAAAACGGTGGAAACAGGAGGCGGAGCAGGGATTGAGATAGATAGACCGATGGATGGATGGATAGAGCTAAATATATTTTCATATTAAGAAAAATGTTGTACCTCAGACAAACAAAGAGAGAGGACATGGAGTATTTCTGAATATACAATATTTTCTTATTTGTTCACACAGGAGTTCAATAGTTTTTCACCATTGATCTCATCTCAGTTATAAACTAGACAAAAATTAGGCATCAGATATGACAGATGATTAGGTGGATGATGAATTCTTTGGAAGTTTACAATGGTCAGAAAGTTATATAATCCTTCGCTCTCTCTCAAGGCCATTTCAGGACATTTCCCAGGACCCCCTCAGGCAGGGGTCATCACTATGACAACAATCTCTGAGGAACTCTGTAGTAGAAGGGTTGCATGTGTGTATGTGCATTTTTGTGTATATGCCCACACGCATGCATTCCTCTCTTCAGACAGTAGCCTCTTAGGACAGGAAGAGAGCTGTTTTGATTAAATAATCCAAATGCTTTGATTGTGTACACGATTACAACTTAGACAATTTCATGTTCACATATAAATAATCTCACACACACACACACACACACGCGCGCGCACACACACACCAGAAGCCACATAAAGAGTAACAGAACATCTTGTTCTGGCTGATAAACTTGCATAAGTGGAGGAGTAAGCAGCCAGCGCTGTTAATACTCACAAGTCACATACAAGGTCTTTAGTGTTGATGTGGACATAAATAATATGATGATTGGGAATGAATGTGTGTACACATTATTGTGTTGGGATGTTATGGCCAGTTGCTAACTAACCAAACCTTCAAAAGGAAAAAGAGATCTACCGCAAAGAACTTTGAATGGATGTTTGGCGTTTTCTCATTTGATTAATAGATTGATTAGATGGATTTACTTACATGCAAAACTTACTCAGTTTACTATAAACCTGACCACCAAAGGCCTCCCTCTTTCATTTTTTTCTCATCTTTTGATCTTTCTCTAATTCTCGTTCTCTGTTAAACTGAGGCTTTCCACATTCCTGCAGTGCTGCTGCTCAGACCAATAAATGGACCTGTCTTGTTTTTGTGTCTCTACAGGAGCGTGTGGAGTATCTGTTCCTCATCATTTTCACGGTGGAGGCGTTCCTGAAAGTAATAGCCTATGGCCTGCTCTTCCACCCCAACGCCTACCTGAGGAACGGCTGGAATCTGCTCGACTTCATCATCGTAGTCGTAGGGTGAGTGAATAGAAACACACAGAAGAGAAATAAAAGCTGTGACATGTTTATTAATGATCCTACGTTACTCTACGTGAATCTTTGTTTGATAGAGGGTGTGAAAAAGACAGCAAATTCACTGTCTCTTTTTTAAAAGCGCTACCTGACACGTTTTTAAACAGCAGCACATCATAGGCAAATGAATCACAGTACCTTGGTATAATTACTGTCAACAAATGAAACTACAGCCAAGACAATTGGCAGCCTCTGTCCAATGCCAGAGGTTGTTATAGTTAAGTCAAGTTAATTAATAATGTTTGATAACAGTTTTCACTTAAATTTTCATTAACAAAGCTTGATTTTCTTTTCTCTCTAACTTACAATTCTAACCTCACTAGTAATTCAACAGATGTGTAAAATCCAATCTGCTGGCACACAGTGTGAATGTAAGTCAGCAGGGAGATTGATAGAGGAAGGTTGTGGTCTTGTTAGTCTAGGGGAATAAATTTTAATCTCTCAGTATATGTGGTATTTGAATACAATTTTAATATAAAATTCTACAACCCACAACAACTTTTAAAAGCAGGATTGTGTTAAAGTGAGCTTTCTTTGCAGTCAGTCTGTTTTAAAGCTGCAGTAAACTTTGGCCTGTAGTGTATTGGTGAAGCCTAAACTGATTAGCTTGTTAGATGCTGATAGCAAAGCTCTGCTCTGTTTTTCTTTATCTGCAACTCAGCAACATAGCCCATCAGCTAAGCCCTCTGAGTGTGTGTGTGTGTGTGTGTGTGTGTGCCTGCGTGTGTGTATGTGCGTGTGTGTGTGTGTGCCTGCATGTGTGTATGTGTGTGTGTGTGTGTGTGTGTGCGCCTGCATGTGTGTATGCATTCCCTGCCTGCCAGCTGTGCTCTGTTTTCAGTGTTTTGTGGGGGTAATGGCACAATAGCCAGTGGACCTTAATACCATAAAAATGGTCTAATTGACCGTGTGTGTGTGAGAGAGAGAGAGAGAGAGAGAGAGAGAGAGAGAAAGAGAGGGACAACAAGAAAGCACCCCTCAGCCTTAAGGAAGGCGTTGTGAATGCTCCAACACACACACACACACACACACACACACACACACACACACACACACACACACAAGCACACTCAGTGAGTCTTGTTCATTGCCAGTTAAGTGTTCACTCACATTACCCTTCACTAACTGAACATGCTTGGCTTCGCCCCATAGACAAACACACACCCTATCAGCTGGCATCATGGTGCCAATGCCCCTGGCATAAACACAACCTTTACCACTCTTATGCTGTTATCTCCCCTCTGTCTGCATCTCTCTCTCTGTCTCTGTCTCTCTTTGAATTATGGCTTTTGTTGTGACTCATCATCACTAAATCTGCAATAATACTGTATTGATCCCTGCAAGGAAATTTGCTTTTTTTCCCTGCAACCTTGTCACACGGAGGTCAAAAGATCATAAACAAGCTGCAGCTCTGGAGTTGGCAGGGTGTACTTTGTCATTCAAGGACACTTCAGGAGGGTTGGTGCTCGCTGCTTTAGACTTATTTTGTCATTTAGATACAAGAAGCTGTTGTGGAAATGACACAGAACAGAAAAAAAAACACATCAGTGAAGTCGTGGAACACAAATACACAGACACCTGTGAGGACATACAGGAAATCCATCCAGGAAATGTTCAGTTGTGACAGCACTGCATCTCTGTGTGTGCATGAATGAGAGCTTGTCTTTGTGCCTGTGTGCGCCTAACTCCCAGACTGTGTGTGTGTGTGCGTGTGTGTGTGTGTGTGTGTGTGCGTGTGTGTGTGTGTGTGTGTGTGCGTGTGTGTGTGTGTGTGTGTGTGTCTGTGTGTGTATAAATGAGGAGTGACAGAGTTTGCTCCCTCTGGAATGTTCACCATATGGGTGAAAGAGCTTGTACCTGGTGCTGAGCAACCTCGGAGGCACACACACATGCATGCACACATGCACTCTCACATACACACACAAGTTTGTGGAGCTATCCTTGTCAGGACTTCCATTCATTGTGGAAAGCCTAACCCAAACACTAACCCTAACCTTACACAGGACTGCAGAAATGACATTTTGCCTCATTAGGACCAGGCTTTGGTCCCCATGAGGACTCCTGGTCCTGACAAGGTTGGTGTTTATACTGGAAAAGGTCCCAAAGAAGTAACAAAAATACACACACACACCCACACACACACACACAGCCTCTTAGCTCACCGAACCTTCACTAATAATCTCTTAAGGTGTGTGTCCATATAGCATTTTCCTCTTGCAGAAAACCGTCTAGTCCCATCGCTTCGTTAGAAAAAGCTGTAACAAGCTTCTCCTCCATTTCCTTATTTACTAGGATGATGAGTCCCTCCCCATCTGATTTGTTGTCTGAAAAGTAGCTGCAGTTACAACACCAGCACCGTTCTAAAAATTTTCAACTAGAAGTGTTTGGTGAAAAAAGGTGGAGCGCTCTGATAAAGAAGCTGACTGTAGCACTTTTTCTCCAGACGGCCGCATGCGGCTGCACACACTCTCCTCTCATTGGGAACAACTGAAGAAACGCTGGTACTAAGAAAAAAAGCTATATGGTTACACGCACTTAGTATGGGTTCTATCAATTGTGTGTGTGTGTGTGTGTGTAGAATATGAATAGAAACTATACAGACTCTCACTTTAGTCTCTGATTTACATAGCTCTCCTTCATCTTTCTGTCCTCTCCATCACTTTTTAGTTTCTCTTTACCCCTACATGTATTATTCTCTTCTTCCTAGTACTATTTCCATCCCTCTCTGCCTTTTTTCCACCCTGTATCCTAGTTTTCTTTTTTTTTTTAAATAAGTGCTGACAGTCAAAATAGCCTTAAGATCTTCACAGGAAAAGAGAGTAAAGAGAATGAAGCCTTCAAGCAAACATTTTGCATAGGAAGTATTGCAAATTAGTTCTGAAACATTTAGTCAGTCGATTAATTAATCAACTAAAACAATTATCAATTATTTATAGTCATTTATCAAGCAAAACTGTCAAGTCATTTCTGGTCCCACTTCTCATATTTCTCAGTTTGCTGCATTTGTTTTTGTATCAAGTATCTTCAGGTTTTTGACTGTTGGTCAAATAAAAAGGTGAATTTCATAATGAACATAATTAATTGCAGCCTCATGGCAAATTTATAATAATTCAAAGATGTATTAACTGTTTTTCAATAGTGTTGTGATGGTGACATGTTGACTACTATGAAACCCTTTTTATCTTTATGAATGTACACAGTTGGTACTATCTTACTATACTAATACAAGCCATTATGTGGTGCTAGACTCAAAGGCTCTAAATATCATTTAACACCCCACCACAGCAAAACATGCTGGGAGAAATGCTGGTGGTGCAAAACTGTGGATCCTTGACGTGCTTTTCATACTCTGTTTCAAAGGCGAGACAGAGAGAGAGAGACAGAGAGAGAGAGAGAGAGAGAGAGAATCCAATTGAGAGGGAGGTAGTGCGAAATAGAGAGGCAGAGAGAGTGAGAGGGAGAGAGAGAGGGCGATATGTTTTGAGAGGTCTTTTCAAGTGGCCATTTCATCTGTGCTAATTGATAATTCTCCGTGACTAACGCGCCGCTGACTGGCCTTTGAGCCGCACTAGCTGGAAAATGGTATTGTATGGTGATTTCTAAGGGATCTCAGAGAGACAGAGAGAGGAGCAGGAGAGTGATAAGCTCAGCTGGACGTACATAAATTCAAGCTTGTGAGCCACTCGCACCAAAGAGATGTCTGTAAATAATTTCATAGGGGATAACAGTTAACAAAAGGCTACAGCATAACAACATGTTTATCCCTTTCATTGAAGATTTATATTATTTACATTATATTTGCATGATTATGCATTCTATTCACTACACCTATGTACTTTACAATTTACTGTAAGAAAGTGTGTGGACATTACCATGGGCTGCAATGAAAGCCTCCACTTTTCTTGGAAGATGTTCCACAAGAATTGTGAACGTAGCTGCAGGTTTTTTCTCCCATTCAGATGCAAGAGCGCTACTGAGCTCGCTCATGGTGGATGTTCCAGTTCATCTCAAGTTTTTCCACACCAAACTGGGGAAATATGCCTATATGGGCCTGGCTTTGAGCATGTGGATGCTGTCATGTTTTAACAGGAAAGGGACTCTCTGAGCTATTGTCCCAAACCTGAAAACCTTGTTGGCTTTTTGTGACCCTCAGCAAGGGAGTTAGTGTCCTCTCTCATATTTATTTATTTTTTTTAATTTTCATAATTTTTAGGAGGATATTGGGGAAAAAAGTTGAATTCCGTTTCCTATTTGACATCATGTGACCATTTAGATGTATCTAATAGGAAATGACCGTGACCCCCAGGTTGAAAACCAGGTGTCAAAAATATCATTATATGTTGTAGCATGAAGATTTCCCTTTGAATGAAACCAAGGGGCCTTCCTCAGAGATACCCATAAAAACACTTCTGTATAGGCTGGGGTTCCCTTATAGCTTTGGCCATATAGTGTACACAAATTCAAACGTCTGAACCACTCTTACACATAGAAAACTTTCATAGAGGATAATTGCTAACAAGAGGCAATGGTGTAAAAAACACTTAGCATTTAAATAGAGGATAGTAATTTGCATTATTATGTGTTTCTGTGTTCTTTCAATCTGACAGTGTTGTGAGCACATGCCTATAAACACACTTTGGAGACAGCTCCACCACCTCAACAGCATTCGGTTGAGCTGATTGTCAAATCTGAGTGTCTCACATTTCCTTATCTGTGTAAGACAGAGGGGATAGATGAACCACTTTCTGTTGGTGTATTAGAGATGTAACTAATGAAGCTGTTTTATTTTCTACTCTTGATTTTTCTCCAACAAACACCTTTGATTGTGAAACAGCGCAGATGTCTTCAACATTCCCTTCACGTTTAGAATTTTGGTGCCATAAGGTTGATGTCTAAATTTGCAACATGTGCGTTGTTTTATAGATTATGGTAAAGATTATGTAAATGGTTAAATTTGGTACTGACAACAGTGACAACAGAGGAAACGAAAAATTAAGCCATAATGGCATCAACTGCAGATATTCATCTCTCTATATTATATCCTTTTATGTCTGTATCTCCTTTATTGTTTCCCTTGCTTTCAGATATTCTCTAGTATGAGGAAATGGGATGTCAAGCTGACAATGATGGTTACTGAAGTCATTACTGTCTTTTTACAGGTTATTCAGCGCGATCTTGGAGCAGGCCACAAAGGGGGATGGGGCCACTCCTATTGGAGGGAAGGCAGCAGGCTTCGATGTCAAGGCTCTGAGGGCATTCAGAGTACTCAGACCCCTCAGACTGGTCTCCGGAGTACCAAGTAAGTATTGAGAGCTGTCAGAGAAAGAAAGAAAGAAAGAAAAGGTAGAAATGATGCTCTTGGGATCAGGTGTGAATGGCGATTGGGTAAGGTAGGGGAGAAATGAACCACGGATTGGAGCTGATATTTTTGCTTGATGCCACACATACAGACACAGTGACACACACACACTTGCTCACACACAGTCCTCTTGTCCTGTTGTCAGATACTCAGACAGTATGAGCAGTAGATGAGTTGTCTGTCAGCCTGTCTGTATTAGTGACTACAGAAATCAATAATCCAGCAGGCCAGAAGACAGGAAAGGATCGGATATTGTGGATGAAGGCTAAGTGAGTGTGTGCACCTGTGTGTGTGTGTGTGTGTGTGTGTGTGTGTGTGTGTGTGTGTGTGTGTGTGCGTGTGTGTGCGTGCGTGCGTGCATGTGTGACAGCTCTTGTGATTACAATACCAAACAAATTCAAAGGGTGCTTAAGCACATCCCACATTGTGCTGTTTTGTTTAAAAGCATGAGCGCTGCAGTGCATGCACAGTGTTTATACTGAACCCTGTCCAGCATCATTGGACTGGGTATTGAATTGGCGTCATGGCAACTCATCAGTAGCATGTTTGCTAACCGATTAGCACAATGACTGACAGATATGTCTTTTTAAAAGCTTCCAGTGCTGTTGCTGCTCGTGTGTAGAATGTACAAAAACAATGATCCATAAATGAACTTTGTAATAAACCTGTTTGTTTTGTTAAAAAGGTGCATGATGTAGATGCCGTAACTATACCAAGTATGTAATTTCATCAACATAGCTTTCTGTCATTGATGCTACCTACTGTGGTTTTGCAGTTGCATTTCCTTCACCAAATTATGTGTGAATTATTGCACAACAATCATTCAAACTGCTGTCATCACATGAGCTTTGAGAATATACATAGATTTTCTTCATTTACACAGAGGAGCTTTGGCCTCATGACTATGTGCAGTACAAATGGCATCTTTCAGCCTTGTCATTTTCCTCTCCCCTGAAGGTGTAATAATGTACAAAATTCAGGGTTTACAGGCACTGCAGTTTTTCATAAATAAATCCAAAGTCAGTGGTTATAGCTGCATATGAAACATTTAACTTAAAGAAACATTTTTAATGAATTCTTAACAAGCAAAGATTCAAGAGGAAATTTATATGATATAGTTTATATGTATGTAAAATTAAGAGATCTAATAAAATGTGTATCTGTATTTGCCAAACCATGTTTATTAATACATTTTCTTTTGCAACTTAATCAGTTAAATAAACCCACATTTCATCTTACAGATAACTGTGACCAGACCATTTTCCTATTGCAGTTACTGTGAGTGATGATTATACTGTGGTCTGAGCCTTTGTCCATCTAAACATTCAGCAAATTAACTGGAAAGTTGTATCGCCCTACAAGCAAGTTCTGTTTTGACCACCATATTTGGTATTTTTTCTCATTGAAGGCACTCTCTCGAAAATTAGAGCTGTTGGAACGAACGTTTACATAGTGATAAACTGCAACTATTCTGCTGTGTACTGTTGTATTATCAGTGCTTTTATACAACAAAAAGGCTTTCATCATTTTACATATTAGGCTTATTATACTAACTGTTTCAATGCTTTTTTTATATTATTATTATTATTATTATTATCTTGTGTCCACACCCATATGTATGTATTCTCAGCAGTTCATCTCTGTGTGTGCTGCAGGTTTACAGGTAGTGTTGAACTCCATAATCAAAGCCATGGTTCCTCTGCTCCACATCGCCCTGCTGGTCCTCTTCGTCATCATCATCTATGCCATCATCGGCCTGGAGCTCTTCATGGGCAAGATGCACAAGACCTGCGTTTACGAGCATATAGGTGCACACATACACACACAAACACACAGACACTCTCACTCACATAAAAGCACATGGGGAGAGAGAGTGAGACAGAGACACAGTATTTAGACTACTGTGCACTGATGCACAGACGCCAATACAAACATGCATGATCAAACACATACACTCGCACACTGCACTTCAATGATCACATAAATTTTGAAGCATGTATTCAACTGTGTGTGAAAGCATGCTTCACTAAGCATATATTCACACACAGACACACTCCAGTGACGGAAACAGTAAGTGAATACTGTGCCGCTCAAACCTTTCCAAATGAAATATCAAAGTGAGGCATGCTGTAGCTGTGCTCTCACCTCACAACTCTAAGGTAATAAGTCTGAATAAATCTGGGACTTCAGTAAGACATCAACCCTTAGCCAACAAGGCAGAGAAAAAATAGAGCGTATACCTTAAACAGTTTAAATGATCACCTCCATTAATTATTCAAACCGTCATTTATGTTTCGGAGTATGAACGATTTGAGCAATAATTGAAACAGCAGCCGCCATAAATGATTGAAACAATTTTCAGTAGAGGCCCCCAGGTATAAATGGACTTGAGTGTTGTTATAGTGATGTTATAGGTCCCATGAGAGGCATTAGCTTTGCGCTGGATAAGTGCTGGTGGAATACTCTTTGCTATCCTATACATCACCCTGGAGAGCTTGTTTTCTATAATTACTATGACACTTTCACACTGATTTTTTTTTATATTGCTTCTCCATTTGGTTTTAGTTCGGTGTGTCCTTTTTAACCTTTTCATACATTTAGGTTTTTTTTTTATTTTAGAAAAGTTCTTCTTAAATGTACATGTACCAAAACTTTTGAAGGATTATTTTGTTTCTTCCTGAAATAAAAGTCGTGTTCATTTTTTTACATAGACAGTCTGAGATAATTGACAGTTTAAGCACTTCCAAAGTTTGGATGGGCATGAAACTCTCTTGGTATTTTGTTTTCACTGCAAAAGATGAGCAACTGTGTTATAAAATATCGTTCATAAAAGCATCAAACTCAAGCCTATCCCCATGCAAACATAAGGTGAGAAGTCATGTGTAACTCCCAAAGAGCATTTTGATCATCGAGTTTGAAATTTTGCTGTGAACCATTATCAGCAGATGAAAGCTGAACAGCATCAGTTTCATTTCAGATTCTGGGTCAACTCTGTATGCAATCAGCACCTATTGCACCTTGTTCCTTTATTGTATTGATAAAGCATTCTAAATTTTCTACATCTCTGATTCACACCACTGTCTGGCTTTTTTTCTATAGCTAATAGAGCTGAGGCTCATGGATATGATCGTATTTGGCGCCATCCACCATCACAAACTGATGGAAAATACATCATTTCATTTTTAAGAAAAAATTATGGCATTAACCTACTGCACAATATTGTTCACATAATTATCCATAAGACTCTATGTTGAGGAACATTGAGAATTTCATTAAAAGAAAACAGGAACAAGCAGCTCCTCCTGCTTTGTAACTGGATAAAGCATTGAGTAGAAAGGATACAGTAAAACAACTTTCCACTTACTTTTGTCTCTTTTATCACAGGCACCAATGCAGAGGAAAAGCCGGCACCGTGCGCACCTGACGGAGCTTATGGTCGACACTGTAAACAGAATGGAACAGAGTGTAAAATGGGATGGGAGGGTCCCAATGACGGCATCACCAACTTTGACAACTTTGCCTTTGCCATGTTAACGGTTTTCCAGTGTATAACCATGGAGGGCTGGACGGACGTGCTATACTGGGTGAGCCGGACACCACAATAGTATCTTTGTGTGTGTGTGTGTGTGTGTGTGTGTGTGTGTGTGTGTGTGTGTGTGTTTGTGTGTGTATGCATGAGTGAATGCCATACTGCTTGGTGTGTGTAGCGACTATACTATATCTGTAACATCAGTGTCACATGTGTGCTTTTGAGAAAAGAATATAAAGCAGTAACAAAAACACTCATCTCAGAAAAGCAGGCATGCACACACAGATTGTTCAGAGAGAGAGATTCGCAGCACACACACACACACACACACACACACACACACAGACTGTGTTGATGTCTGTACATGTGTTAGCTCATATCTCAGGCTAAATCAATGCAGACAATACACTGTGTAATTGACGGCATAGATTCATTTGGAACGTGTGTTGAATCCTGATACTTGATTCAAGTTTCAAGTGAACACACATACATGAACACACAAATGCTGCCCCTTCAGTAAATGGCCAGAAGCATGCAGCTGCCCTGCCCAGCAAAATACACCAATAGATAAATCTGTGCTGTTAATCGATGTGAGGGAAGGTTCAATCAGACTCCATATGTGCCCTCATGAGAAAGCATTTGATTTAGACCTTTGAAGTGGAGGTGGGATAAAAAAGTATTATATTTCAAGAATGAAGAAAAATAGTAGACTATTTATATTTTTGATACAAAATGAAATGCAGTTTTAACATCAACCTGTGTGTTCTATCAGACATTAACTAGAACTGTCCCGTGATCTTGCCACGATGAGACTCTGGCAGCTTATGGCAGCTACAGAAACTCGCACACTGCCGCCTGTCTCACCACTGGAAAGCACTCATGTGGTACAGATGAGTACAGTTTTCTCCACATCTTCAAAAAGCCACCTTTAACAGAATTTTCTGTATTAACTGTGCTACAATACAGTGCAATGAAAGATTTCCTACTATCAGGTAGCCTTAATTTGTACCTCTCACGTATTATCGTTATATTCAAGTCACAGAGCTAAGTATCCATTTCTTTGAAACTTAAATTGCTGGTAATCTTTTAAAAACACAGAAGGCAGCACTTGTTTCTAGCGTTGTGACTTTATTTCCTAATCCCAAAAAGATGGCAGCCAGAGAGGCTGTCTTTTCTTACCTGCTTGTGGATGTTGTTATGTCTGAAAATGTTGATAACTATAGTTAAGACAAATATACCTCCTAATAATAACTTCAATCAAGCAGTGAGACACAGTATGTCATTTTTGTTTACATTAAGAGATATTTTTTTAATCTAGATGGATAGAAAAAATGTTAAGAACTGGAAAATTACCTTTTGGGGTTTTTAAAGATCACCAGTGATTTATCTTTTAGACAAACAGATTTTGTGCCGAGAAGAATGTAATGATAATATATGAGAGGCACCAACGTGGGGATAGCTATCAAAGTACTAAAGTAATGAATGAATCGTTAGATTAGTCAGTGTATTAATGAATAAAAAAAGCAATGAAACGGATATAATGGTGCAGTGACGTTTGTTGAAAGATTGATGATTTTGAGCTCACTAATCTCAGTTAAGTGAAAAAATGTGACTGAATTCAGTAGTTTTGTGTGTGTGTGTGTGTGTGTGTGTGTGTGTGTGTGTGTGTGTGTGTGTGTGTGTGTGTGTGTGTGTGTGTGTGTGTGTGTTCATGTATACACATGGAGCAGAGAGCCTACTAGCTCTACACCCCTTCTCCTACTACCCTGTCTGCTGCATCCTCTCTCTCTACACACACTCACACACACACACACACAGCATCACATTAGTATCACATCAGTTAACACAAAATCAGTTCGCACACTCTCTTTATAATGAATGGGCCCTATTTATCAGGAGTTATAAGTACAAATGATTATGGAAAAACATTTAGACAACGCCAGGCCCTTTGGTTTGCTTGGTTCATTAAGTTTAGGCCATGCATTTCCATTGTTTTCGTTGCAACACATTTTTGGGAATATAGATTAATGATGTCCAACATCTGTTGCTGTTGTAGCAAATGAATCCTCTGTCTCCTCCTCCATCATCTCCCCTCTTCATCTCTCTCTGTCCAGTAGTCTGAGTGTTAAAGTGGCAGCTCTTTGATTTACAGAACCGGAAATAAGCAACTTTTTAGTTCTGTAAATTATTTTTTTCGCAATATTGTCTTTTAAATGCCCTTTAAGTGCAGACTAATAATCTGACATTTCTATTATAATTGGATCCTGGTACTAAACTATTCATCACCTTGTCTACATCATCTCCCATTCACATCAACCCTGTTAACGATCTGTCTCTGTTTAAGCAATACTTAACAATATCCAGATGAATGTGTGGCATATTCCCCAGTAACTGAATATCCTGAAAAATAGATTTTTTATTGGTTTCACTTGGATTTTTTAGTGTCACATGCCGTAAATCCTCTATAAATAAATATAATTGGTTTATATGAATGACTGTAGAGTCACAACATCTAACCGTGTTTCCCACAAAGCCCCATCCACCTTTCCAAGAAAAGATTTCTTGATTGTATAATTATGTAAACACACATTAAGTATGAAAGTTACGGGTTGTCATTGAGTTACAAAAGCACTTAAGTGTTGTTTAGTGTTGTCAATTGTGGATCGTCAAGGACCTGTTCTCTAACAGGAAGACAAGGGTCTATACACAGACTTAATCACACAATACTGCCACTCTTGCTTCGCCAGGTCTTTCTACTGCTCTTTTTAACAGGCACTGCTCTTTCCTTGTTTCCTGTCTGTCATGTTTCCCCTTACCTTCTTTCTATCACTCACTAACACACTTTCTGTCCTGTCCTCTACTGCCCCCTCTCATTCACTCCATCATTCTCTCCACGTCAATTCTCAAACCTTTTCCTCCCACATTTCTCTCTTCCTTCCACCTCCTTTATCTTTCCTGTCTCCTCCAACCTACCAACTCTTTCCCTGTTAACCTCTTTTTTCTCCTTCTCCTTCTCTCCTCTGTCTCTTCTCTCTCTCAGATGCAGGATGCTATGGGCTATGAGCTGCCATGGGTCTATTTTGTCTCTCTCGTCATCTTCGGCTCCTTTTTCGTTCTCAATCTCGTTCTGGGGGTGTTGAGCGGGTAAGAGGTTATGCTGTTGTCATGTGTGTACGTATGTGTGTTGTTTGTGTTGTGGCTGTTCGTATTGTTTTAGATAGAGATGGAAGTAAATGACTGTGTAGCAAGACTCCCATAACCAAACATTTAAAGTGCAACTAGTTCATTTTTGAGAATCCAGTGAATCAGGGATGAGTGGAATCAAGAGGAAAGAAAATTCTGCATATATTCTGATTTTCGGAGTTGCAAAATGCCCAGAGTGATTAAGATGACAAATAGCCTGATTTAGAATCCCTGTGAAGGTTGTCCTGATTCAGTCAAGTGGTACACAAAAGAAATGAAATGTAAATAAGAGCAGGGTGATAAGAGCAGCCTCACCTCAGCAGTCCAGAGGTAAAAGCAGAGCTAACCACAAACCACAAACCTCCACAGTCGAGGAAAGATAAACTAACGTTTCACTGGACTGAGCCTAATCTCCCACGCTCGCTACTTTCTGTTCCACTCAATCAATCCTTTGTCACAATCTCAAGAGAAACACACACACACACACACACACACACACAAAGCAATGGCGGACCTCATGTCTATCTGCTATGTTCATGTCAGCTGACCACAAGGGGCCATATCCCATCACAATCTGTCTGTGATGGACAGGTGGACACAAACACACACACACACACACTAACACACACACACACACACACACACACACACACACACACACACACACACACACACACACACATCATTCAGACTTTCCAGACTTGCTGGACTCTTTTGACAAGCTCAGGTTTATTTACATCTCTAACTTTCTTTTAGTCAAGTTCATTTTTTTTGTTCAGTCTACGCTCAGTTTCAAGAGAACTTCTTCTGCCTTAAACTGCCAAATGCAGAACAAGATCAGTGTTGTGTGATTACGTGTGTGTTGGTTTACATACATGTTTGGCTCATGCAAATTAGTACTCATCTGCCCTCACTGTTTGTGTATGTTTGTTTTGTATGTATATTTGTATAGTGGAATGTGAAGCCATTGGCTCAGAGTGTAGAGTGTGTGTGAGTGTGTGTGTGTTTTGCTTCAATAAATGCTGCTTTAGCAGGCAAGCTGGGTGCTGTTTTACCCCGCTCTGCCAAGTCACGCTGTTTTAGTACAAGCACCACCCGGCCTGTAGGGACACACTGGGGTATAAATAATTCACCCCTCAGGTCAGCCGTGGAGGTAGAATGCTAAAAAAAACTTGCACAACAGGGAAAACACAACAGGCAAAAAAGGTTCTTGTGAGGACAGAGTAGAGTCTGGAGGAAACATGGCATTAAAGACGGAAATTATGGGATAGAGGGCTGCACTGAATAGGGAACATCATTTTTTTTTAAGCGTCCATGAAAACATTAGTTTCCACATATAAATATCAGAGTTAAAACTGATAATCATAACAACAGAATGACTTTAATAATAAAAATAGTTAGAAAATAGTTAGTTGTAGTGGTATTGGCCAAAATCGAAATCAGCAGGTCAGACATTTAAAAAAATCAGAAATCAGAATCGGCCAAGTTGCCATCAGTGCATCTGTAATTAAGATATAGAATAAACCATTTATGTCTTTCTATCCTTAAATTTACTTTGAAAGAGTAAAGATATTGATAGACAATAATCAATCAATCAATCAATAAATCCACAGGAGTCTTGCTACACAGTTTGTTAAAGTAACTAAAATGCTGTCTCTCCACAGTGACTAAGCCTGAATGGACTGTTTTCACTTTCAATTTCTAACCTTCCCTTTTCACAGAAATACATCTGCTCAAATTTGTCGATTTAGCATGGGGCCATTCATAGCCGTCTGTCATGACAGCTATTTTGCATGGCCAACCTATAATATGGCTCCTAAATAAACCTATACACCTCTTTCTAATTTTTTTAATCCATGTTAAATACAGCTGGTCAAATAAATTGCCATGTGGCACACTGAGTGACTCTGACAAATACTATGAATGCACCATAATCCCAGCAGGGATCCCACAGAAGCAAACGTTTCCATCTGCTGGGAACTTTCACTAAGGATCTAACTCCTTCGCTTGCTCCCTTCTTCCCTCCCCTCCCTCCTAACATCCCCTATTTGCTCCTTCTTCACTTTCATCCCTGTCCTCTCAATCAATCTTGACTTCTGTCTCCTCCCTCCATCTTTACTTCACATCCATCCTTACTGTTTCCTCTCCTTGGCCCTTCTCCTCCATTACTCCCTCTCCTAGGTGAATGATGCAGTAGATTACAGGTGGCCCTGGGTCTATTTTGTCACCTTAATCATCATCGGATCCTTCTTTGTGCTAAACTTGGTTCTGGGGGTGTTGAGCGGGTAAGGGCAGGGGCAAAGGTCAATTGAAACTAACTTCTTTTTCTCGCCTTTTTACTATTGTTCTTGGAGAGCTTTGCTCCTTTGTCTTTGCTCAGAGGAATTCTTTGTTTCTTTCTACTTCCTGTTTCTGGCAGTAGATGGTGTTAAAGTTTAACAAGTGCAAAGTATGTACAGAAATATGTTGTAAAGTAGTGCAGTTTGAAGACTTTTGTAAAAACATAGTATGTACTGGCACATGTGGCACAAGGAAAAATATGACCTGACAGCTGACATTCAAATTTATACCATTTGGGGATGCTTGTATATGTAATGCTACACATGTATGAGGGTTTGGAGCTCTACCAAGTGAGTTACATTAAGTGCTCATACATTTCTACTCATTATTATTTATAGCTGACTGTAGTGAAATCATACTTCAGCATCTGGCTTCAGGACATTTCAGCAGGACAGATGGTTATTCTGTGCTACTGAGACCTTTTGGATATTGCTCTCCTAAATACAGCACTTCAATGCCATTTCCACAGAAAAGGACTAGTACTGGCACCAAACACTGTTATCTCCATTTAAGATGAGGAGACACATAGGCAAGCTTATACCACGCCAAATGTGTTTTCAGACCACTGTAAGGATGTTGGCAAATGCTTTGCAACAGTTGTGTTTCAGCTTTTGGAAATTCATGGTACGTTTGGCCAAAAACAATCACACTGTTCAACTTTGTCTTTAGGTTTATGGATATTGAACCTCTCCAGTTTATTGACCACCCACCAACCTCCATAAAAGATAATCATTAGCTTTGCAATTAAGTATAATTTGGAACGAGAATGAGTTGTGTGAAAAATCACAGCTAGCTCATTCTGATGGTTTCATCATGTAGCAAACAGGTTTAGGGGAGTGAAGTGTCTCACCCCTGACTGACTGACCCGAATCTGACTCTTGATACCCACGGTGATGTGACAGCAGCATTGTGAGAAAAATAATAGAGGTCTGTCTGGTCCAAACAGCTTGAAGGGGTTTGGCTGTCTGACTGTTTGTCTGACTTCTGACTAATGATGCTGTCAACACACTACACAGTCTGACCTTTTACCAACTGCTTCCTTCATGGTGTGTGTGTGGGTCTCAGATTGGCATAATAACTAATGGCTAAACAGAAAGAAGGAGAGCAACGGACATAGAGACAGGGGCACTGAGTGTGTCTACATTTGTCTGGAATTGATGTTATACGTAAAAGAAGTAGGAGAGTCTGGCCTGAAAGAGACAAAGAGAGAAAGGAACAGGAAGTGGAGAAAAAAGAATTCAAAGATGATTTAGGACAGAAAAGTTAGACAATGAGAATGGGGAAAATGAGAGTGATGCCTCAGAGTTTTGCCCTCACAGCTGCACTCACGTGCACATACAGTATGTACACACACTGACACACAGAAACACAGATCAATATGATTGGGTGTCTTGCTAATGTTCTGACAGGCGAGACAATAGCAATTTGTCCTAATGCTCATTGATCTGGTTTTATGTCTGTGTGTGTGTGTGTGTGTGTGTGTGTGTGTGTGTGTGTGTGTGTGTGTGCGCACGCGTGCACGTACGCGTGCATGTGTGTCTGTAGTTTGTAGGTGTGATCTGAGGTTCCATCAATCCTCTAATTTCCACACACAGACACACACATTAATTCTGTTCCAGCCTATAGACTGTAAAAATCAATGAAAACGACACCATGTCTTTATGGAGTCTACTCTTTAGGGAACAGTGAACTTAACATTATACACAGCCTCCTTCATGTTTAATTAAAGTCTGTGTACTGATTGCATAATAACGGATAGAAAATATTCACATTAAACTTTAGTATCAGAAACCTTTTTCAGACTTCCATAGCTGCAAAAAGTCTTACTTGAATGTATTCAGCTAACAAGGCAGTGTCCAGTGATTTTTTTCTTTTTTTCTTTTTTTACACTTTTCAGCCGCGAATGTGCAAAAGCCTCCCAGCTCCTGTCAGCTCTCATCCAAATTATTTTTTTTTGTTCAAACTGTACTCTTTGGCTCCAACCTGACTTTGACCTTTCCCAAGTGCATCATTTAATCAAATTCTCCTTAATTCTTTTTTTCATCCTGACACCTGGAAGTAATTTCACCAGGTTTCATCATAATATTTCAGTATTTCACATTCTCCTAACATTGATTTTAGTTGTCTTAAATCATTTTTCTCTATATCCTCTTTGTGCACATCAACCCCGGAATCCCAAAAATCTTGAAAAAGCAGGTATCGAGCTCATTAGATTAAGATAAAAGACACCAGGACGCCTCATGACAAGTAGTTATAGGAGTATTAGAACTGAGTACTAGTAGGAATTAGTAGTAGAACTATATTGTTCGTGTTAATTCTACGTTTACATCCTTAAATCTAAAATTTTCCACATGAAGATTTGCAAACAGTGTTTGAAGAAAGAGCTGAGGCACAAAATAAAGATCTCAGTTTACCTGTATATCTTCATTCTGACATATGGCTAGAGCTCCTGGGTAGTGACCGAAAGAATGAGATGTCAGACAAAAGGTGAGGAGCTCAGTGATGCAGGCTGACCTCAGTGCAGAGCCACTTCTCCTCCAATTTGACAGGAGCAAGCTGAGGTGGTGCAGCTGGTGAGGGGTGCCCTCTTTGTGCCTCCCTCTGGGGTTGTATCAAGCACATTGCAAGTGGGAAGAGATGTGGGCTAGACCCAGAACACACTGCAGGAACTCCGTCTCCCAGCAGGCCTTGGTGCACCTGGGGCCCTGTTGCCTTGGGACAGCAACAGAACAGATAATACACTTCAAAGCATTTTAAGACATGCAGGCATATGTAGCAGCCAGTGTGTACAATGTGAACAATAAGAAAACAGCCAGAGGATCCTTTTAATTAGTATTTCAGTTTTGTAGTTGGTTTTGTCCCTTTGTCAGTATTGTTTAGTCACAAGTGATAATTTCAGGCTAGATGCATCCCAGCTGAGTTAAAAGTTGACTGAGAGCCATCCCTACTAACACAGGTAGCGCAGTGGAATAGCTGTTTGTGGGATAGTTTGCTCACAGTTTTCCGGTACTGGGTCTTTCTTCTCAAAGAATGAATGAAATTTCTTCACTTATCCACTATGAGTGAGTCAGTGGGGGTGACACAATTCACATTCTCACTAGCACACCAGGCTTAATGATTAGAATCCGGCTATATTAATTCAGATGGTTTGTGCAGGGCAAACACTGGAAACAAATTGCAGACAAATAGATCGGTAAACCATAGTACAATGTAACCTTTGTATTGGGATTTGATAAAATCCAAGTTTTTATGAAGAAGTTACCATATTTATAAACATAGAAACTGAACTGAATTGAAGTGTATTGAGCTGCTTAAAATGTATCTAGATAAACTGGTTGTTTGAGATGTGAACCAAGCTGCAGGTTCTCAGTCTGGATCTGTTTTCATCTCTATTTGCACACTAACATCTTCTTGGCAGAGCTTTTCTCTCTTCCCTTCACATTTCTTTCTCTCTTTAGCAGGTTTTCCATCCTTCCTGTTCTGAAGTGTAATGCTCTGTATTATCACAGTTTCATCACGTGATATATTTTGGGAAACCTTCAATCTAGATTTTCAGATTCTTTTTCTCCTACCTCTGTTTCCCGTCTGTCTCTCTTTCCTCTCCTCATTCCTCCCAATTCTCTGCCCCCCCTCCCCCCATCCCTCCATCATGCTCCCCTCCTCTCAGAGAGTTTTCCAAGGAGAGGGAGAAGGCCAAGGCGCGTGGTGACTTCCAGAAACTCAGAGAAAAACAGCAACTAGAGGAGGACCTCAAGGTAGGCTGCTGTGTGTGTGTGTTTGTCTGTTTCAATGAGTCCTGGTCTAAAAGAGGATGTAACAGTCTTCACCTGCTACTAAGATTCACTGTATGTTACTCTCAGGCTTTCAAAAATGAGATTAAACTCAGTTCAGAGTGGCTAAATCAGGCACAAGTATATCTTAGAATAATGTGACACTGTAAAATAATCAAATGCAAGCAAGGCCACAAGATGTGCAGAGTTAGATAAGAATTTAGACGACATCTTATCCTGGATACTACAGCTTTGTTAAATATTGAACATCCTTTACCGTTAGTGTGGGGGAATGCCAACAGAATACTTTATATATTGAGCCCTTTCGAAAGTTACAACATGCTTTACAGATGGAATGAAAGAGGATATCAGAGGGACAGAAAAGTGAATACATTAGATAGTACTATATTGTCATGTCATGTAAGATATTGTCATGTTGTCCATCTCTGTATGTGTTTTTATATGTGTGTGTGATTACAGGGCTATTTAGACTGGATCACTCAGGCTGAGGACATTGACCCAGAGAATGAAGAGGAGGGCATGGACGATGACAAACCCAGAAACCGTGAGTCTGTGTGTGCGTGCGTGTGTGTCTTTTTAAAAGTAAGAGAGGCCAAGAGAAGTGACGATCTTTTTGCTTACTGTATGTACATGTGATTTATGGTCAGAATTTTCTGTATCTAGGGTACAAGAGTTTTTGTGGGAAAGACTCGTTGGAATGATCGTGTTTATATCTGAAGCTATTTTGTGTGTTGTGAGGACAACTGTGGATGTGTGTGGGTGTACATATGTTTGTGTCTGTAAGTAGTGAGCTCACCGCAGTCTCCTTCACACAGTGGTGGCTCACAGTCAGTGAATGAACGACTGACTTATTGACAGAGTGACTGACTGACAGACTGAGAGGATGTTAATATTGTCTGCTTGCTTTGGCTGAGAATCCTCCTGAGGTTTAAAACCTGTTTGGATATTAGTGGAATGTGTCAGACTGCAGCTAATAGCCTCTGGGCACACACTCACATACACACAACAAACACACACACACTTATGGAAACTCATATACACACGCATATTGCAGGTATACACTCTGAGGAATGTGTGTACTTGCGTTCTGACAGAAATTTACACACATAAATTAACACCCAGTCTCTCTCCACAATATCTGCAGAGAGAGGCAGCCACACATGACACATCTCTCCAGGAGTGAGCTACATTTCCCAGGGAGGGAGAGTAGAGCACTGGCCTCTTTTAACCTGGAGGTTGGATCTCACAGAGGATAAATAGAACTTGAGAAAGGGACAACGAGGAGGAGAGGCAGGGATTTGGCAAAAAAAGTGTGTCCATACTGTTTTTGTGTATGTACTGTTCAGTATGTACAGTATGCGCTGTGAACTGTTTTATAAAAGCTTGGAGCTCGGCTCGGTGATGAATGAATGAATAATGAAGGCTAAATATGCAGAGGCAGAGCAATCATTCTGCATATATTCTGCACACAGAATGCTCATCTCCGACAAAGCACTGTGGCTCATTCTGTGAAACACTGATGACTGCCAAGGAAGGAAGACAGAAAGAAGGAAAATGATGCTCTAATCTTTCAGTGAATCTCAAGAAATTAACTTGGTCAAATGAGCAATGACCCAATTTACATGAGAATAAGGCAGAACACCCCTGTGGCTAATCCATAACAAATCTACTTGTTTTCACCTGTTACTATTGTGCTCCCTTGGGCTAATCAGTGTGGCAAAAACACATCAGCAGTGTCTGAGATACTGGCACATTAACAAACAAACAAACAAATACAGTATGTGGTCCCTCATTTGGGCCAATTTGGAAAATGTCACATTACAATATTGAGATGCTTCTTTCCCCCAAGCTTCACAAATTCTCTATCACTGATATTATGCACAATGTCCAGACAAGCCCAAGTTAGTTGGGGAGAAAAGCAAGACAGACTGTGCAAGTGCTTGATCCTTTCCAGTTTGATAGAAGCATACACATATGGTTCTTGCACCTGACTGATACCCGTATCAGATACCCGTATCAGTCAGGTGCAAGATTCAGTCCATTGCTTTTACCAAACGGTATAACTTAACTGCCATTAGATTTAGATGATCTGACAAAATGATTGATATATATGATCCAAAGTTCTCCGTCACACAGATGAATCATCCCTTTGTTTGTGATGGTGGAATATCAAGTCACTTGCTCTTTCCATCGCTCTCCCTCCCTCTCTTCTCGATGGATGGATCCTCCTCTGGGAAGATGAATGAGGGCAGTTTGTCCCTGCTGCCCAGGACATTTTGCATAGACTCGCACACACACACACACGCACGGGCGCACACACAGACACACACACACACACACACACACACACACACACACACACACACACACACACACACACATGCCCTAAGAAGGGAGAAGAGACTTAGATATTAGAGGGGAAGATAGCAGAGAGTTGGAAGGAAAAATAGATGTTGAGAGACAGAGTCAGAGCGATAGAAATAGAGTGTGACTGTGTGTGTGTGTGTGTGTGTGTGTGTGTGTGTGTGTGTGTGTGTGATACAGAGGGTATCTGGGACAGAGAACAGATGGGATTTCACATCATGAACAAGTCTCACCAGTGACCACACACTCATACAGAGACCTCACACATGTTCCTCCATGTCTATCTATCATACCGTCTTTACGTGAAGAGCTACAGGGGCATAATATTGATGTATGATGTGAATAGAGTGTTCATATGAAGACAAATGGTTTGTGTGTGTGTGTGTGTGTGTGTGTGTGTGGGTTTTTGGTGACAGAGAGTAGTGGTATTGATTTTCAGTTTTAATTTCAGTTTTTAGTAATGGTGTGTGTGTGTGTGTGTACATGTGCATGTGCCGGTAGCTTATGAATATGGTGGTTATCATTTATGAGCCTGCACTCATGACTAGGACATATACACATGCAGGCAGGCACGCACACAGTCAAATGTGATGATATATGATGTGATGCGAATGCTGTGGTAGTTCATTATTTATTTATGTATATGTATCATATGATGTGTTACCTCTGAATATTTGTATGTGCTTCCCCAGGGGCACACTGTATGTGTGTGTATGTGTGTCTTGCATGCTCTCACCCTCTGCCATCTTGTTCTTGCATGCTGTCGTCTTGTTTTGGCGTCCTGCCACTGCGTCTGTGGTAGGAGTGTCTCCAGCCCACCTGGGTAAGAAGACCAGTAAGCTTGCCTGGTTCAGTCACTCTACTGACTCTCAGGACGGTATGTGTGCGTCTTTGTGTGTTTGTGACGTGTTTCCATGTGTGTTCAGTTGTATTGGGGCATGTGCTTATATCAGAATTTTCTGGTATGATTAGTTTGGTTTAGATCATCTTCTGGAACACATTAGCTGATTTAATATCCCATCTATCCTGGGAACACCCCAGGGCCTCCCAGGAGGATCTGGAGGATGTGGCTGGGGAGAAAGATGGCAGGGATCAAGGATAAGACTAAAAGTCTACAGTCAGTATTAAAACATTCTGCATATCAGTGAAGACAGTTCCCTTGTCCACTGCCTGGTGCCAAGTCTCTGTCAGTATACAGTTGAAGTGTTGCTTGCATTTGGCTGCTACTCTCAAAATGTTTTCAGTAGATTTAATACTTTTCATTTAGAAGTATCAGCATACTTCTGACCATTCTCTTGGATGGGAGAAAATGTTCACTTGTCTATTTTTCTCTCTCTGCCATTGAAACTTTGCTTTTCCACTTTTTGACATGATAAATGTGCATTTGCCTAGAGGATTAAAATTCCAGAAAGAAGCACAACTTTATTGCCTTTGGCTTTCATCAAGGTCATCAAACATCTGCTACAGAAAGTATATTTTGATAATAGTGGTATAAAATGTGTGTTAACAGCATGACTCTCTACAGTGTGTGGAGTTGGAGGGGCTGCCTCCTGCGTTTGGTGACAGGTTATGTGATAGTTGTAAAACGTAAAACTACATCTGCTCATCATTCATTTGTCATAGTCGTCTGCAGCTCAGTCGAAGCTTAAACGATTCTCGTGCAGTGATTGGTTGATTTAAATGGATATTTGTATGATTGTCTACTGTATGAGTGCATGTGTGTGTGTCTCTTTAGTTCAAGTCAGCTTGTCTTTGCATCTATGTTTGTGTATCTTATTTTTGCTAGACTTCATGCTTCATATCTGTGTATGTAGTGTTTTTGTTTTAATTCTGCTACTGTACAAAGGGATTCATGAGAGAATACTACTAGTTCTCTTCTGCAGTATGACGTGTTTGCGCAATCTCATCTGAATCACTGCAAAAATGAGCAGAATTCAACAACAGAATGATCCCAGTGTGGAGGAGGATGCTGATGAATGTACAGGCTCACAATGATGTAAAGAGTGTAAGAGAATGTGGTGAAATCACGCTAGTGTTTGCCAAGAAGAAGGTTAATAGTTAGGTAGGTAGGTAAATGTTGACTTCCTAAAATCTCCAGAATATGTAATCATCCCAATGGCAACCTTTCTATATTTCCCTCTTTCTGTTTCTCACTCCCTCTGTCTCTCTTTCTGTCCTGTAATTTCTTTTTATGCCTCTCTGCGCCGGTGACAGCCAGAGCTTGAGGCATTAAGTTTTCGGGTTGCCCGTTCCTCCCATTATCTTGAACACAATAGCTCAGTAAAAGAAGGGAGTTCACAATGGAATTCCTTCAAATTTGGCACAAATATTCACTTAAACTTAAGTATAACTAATTTGATTTTGATGATCAAAGGTCAATGGTTAAGCTCATGGTGACCTTGTAGAGCACGGTTTTGGCCTTGTGGACACAATATCTTGGGAACTCCTCAAGCGAAGCCCTTCAAATTTGGTGCAGATTTGTAGCCGTTCTCTGATTGTTTGGTTGGTATTAGTATTATGGTTATGGTTATTATGGTTAGTTGGTTTGTAGCCGTATTCTGGTTGATTGGTTAGTAGCTGTTTTCTGATTGGTAGATTTGTAGCTGTATTCTGATTGGTTAGTTGGTTTTGCCCGTAGTGTGATTGGTTGATATGTAGCCATATTCTAATTGGTTTTTAGCCCTATTGTGATTGGTTGGTTGATTTGTAGCCATATTCAGATTGGTTGGTTGGTTTCTAGCTGTATTCTGATTGATTCACAGATTGAGTTGTCTACTGCTTGTTTTCACCATGCTGCACTACAGGGAGGAAGTGCTCTGTGTGTATTATTATTATTGTATACAGTGAAATATTATAAACCAGAACAAGTCAATATCTTGATTTAAAAAAAGTAATTTTTTTATGCCCCCTCACAATAGACAAGGCTGGAGTTATTATGTTATCAGGTTGTCCATTTGTCCGTCCATCCGTCATACTTGTGAACACAGTATCTAAGTCATGACTCCCTCTTCATGGGAATCCCTTCACATTTGGCACAAATGTCCACCTGGACTCAAGGATGGACTGATTAGATCAAAAATCAAGGTTACTGTGACCGCACAAAACACGGTTTTAGCCATAACTCAAGACTTCAGATTGCAATTATGACAAAATTTCACACATATGGTTAATAATTTATATGATTCTGGATAAACAGGGATGTAACCTGAAACTAGTCTGATTGACGGAGGCATACAACCGCAAAGCTGTAATTCTAGTTACCTCAGAGGATGAGAAGTTTCAAGCTCAGACATGATGGTCGAAGTCTGAGAATAAAAAGGAGATTAAAAGACGAAATGGTACAAGGAAGAAAAAGTAAGTCCTTGCCAATAATGGCAGTAATACATCTCCAATTGCAGTTACAGCTGGAGTAAAGAGATGAGCTGTGACTGTAAAGAGGGAATGTCATTTTTGCAGAACCAATCATGTTTCCTCGCAACAGGTTGTGTATGGCATGAGAGCAAGTATGAGTACATGTGATTATTTGTGTTCAAATTTACAGTTTGTGTATTTCGGCATTTGTGCTGACTGTGAGTGCCTATTCGTTTGTACCCGTGTGTGTGTGTGTGTTTGTCTTGCTGAGCCGTGCTCTCTATCCCCAGGTAAGAGCCATCGTTTTCAGTCTCTACGTGGAGCTGTGAAGAAAAATGCGGCTTTCCTTCGTAAGGCGTGTGCGTCTGTCTGCATGGTCCAACACTAGTTAAAGATTTTCTTGGAACGTGATTCTAGACATGCAAGCAGACTGCAGCCTCTTTCCTCCTTTCTACCCCTATACCTCTCCTCTCCTCTCCCCTCCTCTCCTCTCCTCTCCTCTCTTCTACTTCCTCTCCTCTGCTCTACACTACTCCTCCCCCTGCACTGGAGTAAGCATCTTTTTCTGAACCCCTCCAAAGCTTCTGAGCTAAAGTGGACTGTGGCTGCCTCTCAATACTGTAAAAACTGTTTATTCTTGCTGTGTTCATCACCCCTTTTGTAGACTTACTATTGAATAATAATAATATAATAATATAATCTCAAGGCCATGTATACAGTCTTAATATTCTCTCACACTGGTGACCCACCGCTGTTCAAATTGCATGTCTTCATTGTATTTAAATCTTTACGATGTTTCATGGCTCTCAACTTTTATTTATGTATAATTGAAAAGGCGAGAACTTTCAGTACAGGGAATAAGGAGAGGAAACAACATTACTGTTTTGAGATGAAGCCACTTTTCTCCTTTATAGGTTCAGAGGAAAGGAAACGTTCGCATCTGCCTGACTTGTCTGAAAAAACAATAAGAGGACAGTGTCATCACAGAAAAAAAAAAGAAAAACTGTAGTGGAGGTCGTCCACTGTGTATGACAACTAAAAACATTTATAATATTTGTGATATCATAGTCCTTTCCTTGTTGTTTCAGCTTCCTTTCCCTAAAATCCCCCTTGAATTGTTGCTAGCCATGCTAGCGATGATAATCAAAGTTCATGGAAAAATAGCTTTAAATCTGGAGCTTTAGTCTTATTGTCATTTTCACCAGGCACTTGCCACACTATTGAGTAGAAATGTAAGGAATTTGTGCTTCTTTTCACTGACTTGAAAAAAGCATTTGGTGCTGATAGCTTAGATGCGATCAAGTTTTTTGGATGGTCATTTTTACTCTAAATTTAACGTGACAATTGCCTCGTGAAGAAAAAAGACTAAATTCTAAATATTAAGTTGCTGTATTTAATCATAACAAGACATGAACATGAAAAACCTCCCAGCAGGCACGCAGCTGGCCACCAACGTCATTAGATTTTGATATTTGGCTGAATGTAGGTTGCCAGAGACCAAAATTTAATTTCAGGACAATGTCAATGTCAATTAGTAGAATACTGACGACAGCTGACGCTGATATTTTGTTGGTTTGAAGTTGTGTCGTTAAGTAATCAAAATCTAATGTCTTCCCAATGTCTCATGCCAATATTGATGTAAAATACCATCATAGCAGTCGTGACCCATGGTGACCAAAACTCCACGTCAGCCAAACGTTGGCTAAATGTCAGCTAAACATCACAACGTCAGTTCGCCAACTTTGAGTTTTGACATCAACCTGATTTTCATCTCCAACTAAAATTTCAGGTCTGTCTGACGTTAGAGCCATTAGACGTCTGGTGCCTGCTGGGCTAATTAATGAGACAAGGATTTTAACTATGAATTTATGGTCATTTTTGTCACTTTGGGGTGTGGTATCGGACATTTTGACTGTTTGAGGTATATGTAAAATACTTCTGGAGATGATGGTATGGATAATGAATATCTGACTTAAGCCTTGTTTTAGTATGTAGACCTACCCAAAACAGATTCATACACTAGGACACAAATACACACACACACACACACATTCTTTTTCAGACAGTGCTGTTGCTTAATGTTTTAACACATGCCAACATTGTTAAGAATGAACAAATCTCTCAAACTATTGAAAAAGCGTGACCCTTACCCGTTTTTCTCATTCACTTCCTTCCTGCTGCCATTTCTCCCTCTAACATGCTCTGCGTTCCTTTTCCTTGCTTTTCCTTCCTTCTCTCTGTGTCTCTGGTCTTTGGGGTTTACTCTAACAATAGGTCTTAAACTAGTTCAGAGCTCCATTGAGGAGAAGGCACAAGGCTGGTTTTATATTTGAAAGGCTTTGGCCTCAGGAGGGACCGTAGGGCCGCAAGTGCTTTTAACTAAGTGCCACAGCAGCAGGTGACACGTGTCGATGTGAGGGAACACACAGTTGTCCCTGCGGATCCCTGAGGCCTTAATGTTCAGAGAGACCATCCTGATCTCTACAACACTGAATTTATCCATCACCCGCCAAGTGTCAAAGTGTCACTGGCCTCATGCACTGCTCACTCACTGTAGCTTATTTTGATGTATTATGTTAGCTAAGTGCTTTCATGCAAGCTAATTTTTTTTTAAGTTTCAACAACAATGTTGAATTTAGTGAAAGTCATAACTCACACCTTTAATATATCTCTTTTTTGAACTTGGGGTGACCAAATGCATGCTGGGAGACACTTTGCTTTCTTGCTTTAATTTGCTTTGCTTGATTGCTTATTTTTTTGGCACATCATTATTAACTCATCTTTATTTAAGGCTGTATAACTTGACGCTAAGGTACAAGTTCAACATGATTTACTTTTAGCATATGGAACTTTAGGATTTCTAGATCCCATCATTGAATCTGCATGAAACACTTAAAAAAATCACAGTATAAATGCATTAGGGCCAATGGCAGGGTTGAAAATCATTTTCTAACACACAGAACTCTGTTACTGGATCTGATTTTTAAAAAAAAAAAAAAAAAAAAAAATAGAGCACATTTCCAGACAAGCTCTGTGTTTTCAATTTCATTTTTGGGGAATATATTTAACTCCTTCAAGTCTGTCATTAAGTAAAAGTAGATGTCAAGTTTCAAGGCAAATGCCCTCTCATCTTAAGTGCTGATCATGTTTCTTGGTTTTATGCTAAGAGCTGGTATGCATGAGCAGTTTTTTGTTTCCAGCAGTGAGTATCTTATTTTAACACAAGAGACATTGAGATTCATATGCAGTATCTGACTCTGGTGTTACAATAAGTGTTTGAGGTGACAGTGAGGGGAGCACAGCTCATTCCCGCAGGCAGGCAAAGACTGACAGAAGCAATAAAAAGCAATGCCTCACTTCATATCAATCTCTCAACCAACCATCCCCACATTCACCTCCTTCGCTGGCTCCCTCTATCCATACCTCCCTCTATGCATCCATCACTCCCTTCCCCCCCATTCACCCTTTTTTTAGTCCGTTCTCCCTCTTTTTCCACTTTAACACTTTTCCATCCTTAACTGACACTTAATATTACTCCTGTCCTTCCTCTACAGCAGCCTCTGCCTCCATCTTCCCGATATTCATCCTGCCATCTTTACACGTCATTAAACTTGTCTTTAAATAAGGACAAAGTGACACATTTGCAGTCTCCTTGCGACTTTATAAAGAAAGAAAGATTGGGCTAAATACAGCTATCACCTGTTTACACATCTGCAAAAAGATCTTTGGAGCATGGAGTTATTTTCAGATGTGTGCGTTTACATCCTGCCAAAATTAAAGTTTAAAGCGTTATAAGGTTTTCTCAAAACCATGTCTGAAATTAAGCTCCAGCATCCCCCACAGCATTTACAGACCAAAGACAGAAATATACATCTTGTTTTTTCTTTCAGTCTCCATGAGCTATAAAATCATAAAAGGGTTTTGTTAAGACTCAGTTCACCCAGCATTAATCTATTCTTCAGTTTAGAAGTTGAAATCCATCCTAATAGCTGTTGCAGAGGTTGTGTCCCAGGATCCATAACGGTAAATATTGCTAGTGTGGCAACTTAGTGCATAATTACTTTAGGCAATCGGTGCAAAATTTGGGAATGGTTTCATTGACTCAAGGGCATGAGTGTAACAGTGGGTCTTAATTAGTTGGGTTGGACAATGCTGACTTGTGAATCCCTTCATGTCAACAGTAGCTTTTAATTAGTTTGTATATTGGGCAAATATAAGTTTATAATTTTATAAATGATAACTTCACAAAGTGACCCAACATCCAGTGCTCCTCAGCATTTACCCACAGAAAACTGGATACATTTGTAACATTCCAGTGTGTATAGATTTTTAAAGTAAAGTTGGGATTAAGAGTTCACAACATCTCAGGTTCAAGGTTTAGAGGAAGCTATATAGAAAAAAACCAGCACAAGAATGGTGTAAGCAAGGATGTACAACCTGTTCTCTGTCCTGTTAATTCATCTTTTGTATTTGTTTCTTTTTCTTTCCTCCTCTCTCCATATGCCGTCTCTTTTTCTCTGCCTCTGCTCCTTTCTCTCTCTCAGTGAGCATGCCAGCCAGTGAGAATGAATCAGTCAACACAGACAATGCCCCCGGGGGAGATGTGGAGGGGGAGACCTGCTGTACCCGGCTAGCGTAAGTACCTCTTACACACACACACACACACACACACACCTCTTCTCCTCCTTCTTTTCCTCAGCTCCCTCAGTCACCTTCTGCCAGTCCCAAGGATGAACTCTATCCTGCATCTTTGCTGTGTTAGCCATGGTACAGGTAGCTCATCCTGCCTCCATCCTTCACTGATCTCACTAAGCCAGACCGCTGTCTCATCACTGAGGTCTAGAGAAATTCATGCACTGACATTGGTTAGAGGAGAGCAGAGAACAGTAACAGTGGGTTGTCATCACACTACAAACTGTTGAATTTTTAATAGGGAGAACTTGGTGGATCTGAAGAGACAACGAACCAGAGTTTCTTTTCCCAGAGGTCATTTTCATTTTCAAAGCCAATGAAAGCACTTTTTTTCCCAAAAAAAATGTGTGACCTGAATGAAACATAGGTCATATATTTTTATATCATCGAGGCCTTAGTATTGCAGCAGCCACCGTGCTTCATATGTTTTTGTAGTATACTACAACTAAATCATCAAAATTGGAATTATTGATCTTTCTTAACAACAAAATTATCTGTTATCAGTGTTACTTGCAAAGTGCCTGAGACAGAAATGTTCCATGACAGTGATCTTTACTGATGGCATCACACGAGCACATTAGCAGAGGAAGCCCATCAGGCGGCCAAAGTGCTTGTCGATTCATGTGGTACAAGGAAAACCCAGTCGTCATTTGGGACCCAACAAAATGTGGAAAAGCAGGATATCTACATCTCATCTAATAGTAATCCCACTTCCTCTCTCCCTCTGTTTCTGCTCTCTCCCTCTCCTTCATGTGTTTTCTGGTGAAGTGCTTTCCTCCTCCCCTGTGGGAAGCTCAAGAACAGCTGACTCACTCACTCCTGCTCTCCCCTCTCCTTTCATTTTTTACATTATTCAAAGAAATGCGTTGCTTTCTTTCTTAGACACGAGGCCACACTGGAGCCGTGACCCCAGCGGGCCCACTTCAGCACACACACAAGCGAACACACCTACATACAAAACCGTTCACCACTTTGAATGTAGCAGAATAGTGTAAAATACACAATTTAGAGGTGAAATCGCATTGAATCAGAAAAGCTCAGAGGAACAGTAAAGCTGCCAGGCACACTTGGATGACACACTGTTGTTCATCTCTCGCTGTCCACATGTTACTTTGTCTTTTGTTATGTTTGTTTGTTTGTTCCTTGTCAGACCAAAACAAATCAAAACAAAGAATATGTCGTAACGTCACAATCTTCAGATAGTACCAGAGCCCAACACGCAATTCTACATCTTCTCCAAAATGTAGTAGAAACAGATATTAGTGAAACTGTTATTTTGTAGAGTTCGGGTAACAGTTCAGAACATGAACATACTCAGTTTACTATCACTTTCACAAACAAACACATCAATTCTTCACATTTTAGAGGCTGGAACAATCAAATATTTGGCCCTTTTGCTTCAAAAAATAACTAAAATTATATATCATTTATTAAAATAGTCGCTGATTAATTTTTGTTGATGCAGATTTCATCATTTAATAATTGTTCGCAATAAATAAAAATATTCAGCAATGTTCATAGAAGTTCCATCCCATAATTATTTATTTTTTACTTGTGTACTAGTTAACACCTTGTTGCTGTACGGGGTCTAATCTTTTCATTTATGATTTATAAAACTGCTGCAGAATAAAGCTCATTTGAAACATGTGCATTATAGGTCTACAACATCAATCCTCTTTTTCATTTCTACAAAGTAGCTCTGAAAAATTTACACTTGCAATTTTGAGTTTTACTTAAATAATGAGTGAGTAATCTAAATGTCCACAACCTACTGAAGAGTAAACCTTGCCACGCCTAGAAATACAATCCCTCATCCTTCCTCTGAGAGATTGCAACAAGTTTGGCTTGGGGCATTTGCTCACACTATTATGGAGATAAGACTTGAGCCTTTCAGTGTTTGTCAGTTCTTCTTCACATCGCTATGGAGACAGACCTCAGGGTAGGAGCTACTTCGGCGCCCGTTGATCTCATAATCGAGACGGACACATGGAGAGAAGAGACGTGTGTACTGTCAGCCTCCAAATCCAGCCAGTCAGTCATTTTATTCTTTCCTTCAGTCAGTCAGTGACTCATTTCATCGCTTCAGTCAGTCGGTCAGTCAGCCAATCAGTCAGCTGGTCAGTCAATTCATCTGTTTTTACAGACAAAATCAGTGCACAGCTTCTCACAACAACTCCCTAAAAGACATGTTATTGTTTTATTGTGATACTGCTGTATCCTCTTTCGATTTACTTAATTTTTCAAAATTGAAATACAAGCAATAAAATTATATTCAGATGCAACAAAAGGAGCCATAAAGACACTAATAAATGCATCATTTAATGTGATCATTGTATCCACCTATTAACCAAAGATTTGTATTATTTTGTGCATGAAGTTTGGTTATGGTTAATCCTTGGATGGTAGAGCAGCTCCAGCTTATAAGCTTCATGAATTCAGCTGATTGTTAGATCATATTATGTGAACACAACAGATTAAAATGATTTGATATGTCGTGGATGCAAATTTCCATCCTGGGAACTTCTCTTCTCTTCTCTTCTCTTCTCTTCTCTTCTCTTCTCTTCTCTTCTCTTCTCTTCTCTTCTCTTCTCTTCTCTTCTCTTCTCTTCTCTTCTCTTCTCTTCTCAGAGACAAAATGTCTTCCATAATCTCTTGTCCTCAGTTCTTTATGTATGTACCTTCTGCTGTTACAGTGGTGAACAATCAACAGACATTTTTCTATTAATACACTGTGTTTTTTCACACCAGGGTTGATTGGAGAACATCCAAACTCACAGCATTATTTCTTTTGACTGGGTGCCACTGTATACATGTTTGCAGGGGGTGATTTGTTCAAAAGAATAGTGGCTGATACTAATGATGTTCATTTAGTTATGTTGTACCCAAAATCTGTCACCAGTGGGTGCATAAAAACAGACAAACTGATTTTTTAGCAAACATGTTCTTTGATCATGTTGCAGTTCTGCAGAGAGACAACCAACAGCTTTTTTGCATGTGTATTTCACTTCAGAGTCTAAACTAGCAAATGTTTACCTCATGATATAAGCAACAACATGATAGTATCTGAAAAGTGCAGGAAATACTGGACGCACACAACTAAGCTGATCAAGGAACATATTTGCTGAGGCGTTTGTGATAATGAGGGAAGAAATTCCCCTTTATCCCTTTCAAATCACCCCTTTCATGTTGTGTACCTGTCTATATGTGTGTTATGTGTGTGTGTATAATCCATTTTGTTTTCTGTGTTCCAGAAATAGGATCTCCAAATCCAAGTTCAGGTTAGTAGATGTTGTTTACCATAGTCTTTAAACTCACCTGCTCTGTCTCTTCCGATGTGGCATTTGTGCCGTCACTGGATGTGTGTTTATTTGTGTGCAGGTGTGTGCGTGGAAAACACAGACAGACAGACATTGTGACATTTTCATATAACTCTTAGCAAAAAAAAACGAATAAGCGTCACTCTCAACATTTTTAACCACTAAAAGATCAGAAAAAATACTGCATTACCTGTGAAGATATGCTTTCATTCTGTACATTTTATTAACCAAGTACTGTAAAACTGGTTGTTCTGAAAGGTCAGTCAAGATGTTATCCCAACTAACAATTACAGACATATTAGACATGACACGTCTTTGACTGTAAGAATGCATGTCCGCTGGTGTTGTGTTGTGAGTCGTGTCTCATGTAACATTCAGTGTGTGCATCATGGCAGAAGCCGCTGTGTGCCATAACTGACTCCAAGCAGCTCTCACACAATGAAACAGAAGACTGGTGAAACATGAATGATGTACAGGCAGAGAGGGAGAAGACTTCCTCCTGAGCTGTGTTGATTTGTTTAAAAAAGATGCCTGGCAATTATAGTACATGACAAATCTCCTTACAGCTACATTATGTCTGGTGTGGTGGACAAAAGGGTCAAGTACAAATAATGGATAGACACCCACATAAATACAAAGAGATACCTGACAAGCGCAGCTGTGGTTTGGGTTTATTTAGCTCATTTAAACAGAAGATGATAAATACATTAATTTATTTAATTTACCAATGCCTACCTCTGCAGTATGAGAATGTTCTTGGGTGGTTGTCCACTTTTCTTTTCCTCTTTTCCTTTGCTTAAAACCAGTCTATTATTAGCAAATTATTGTCTCCTCATTAACCTTTAAGGTAATTTGGAGCAAATTCTTGTAATTACATGTTGCCATTTTCACACTGTACTTGTAGCTAGTAGTAGAAAACACATTAAACGGCAGTAATGGCTTATTGGATTCCTCCCTCAAAGTGTCCGGGATGATATATAACACATGAACATATAAAACATATAGAACATATAAAAAGAGAGATTCATGCTTCACAGCTTCTCCACAGTTAGAACAACAAAAACACAAGGTGCTATCTTCAGTTGCTTTGATCTCACTTACTAAGGAAATTATGACAATAATGACGATTTACAAATCATTTGTACATGGGCGTATTTAAAAAATGGTATGACCCACTGAGTGTACTGTTTGGCATCAATGTGATTGCGAGGTGCGAAGCTGGTAATAACCAGCAACAATAACTTTTAGTTTCAACAGTAGAGGGCAAGAAAAGTGAAATAGACTTTGTGCACAGCAGTCAACACAGAACAACATGTTGAATTGTCTACAGAGAAAAACATATGTTTTTGTTATGCTAAAATAATGAACCACTTTTTCTTTTGAAGCATGAATTTCTATTGAAGTGTGAATCACAATATAACACATTTCACTTTAAATTTGTCCCTTCAATCATTTTGCAAGAATAAGTGTTTCTGTTTTTTCTCTCAAATGGTGCATATCTCATTCTGCAACAAAGCTCGTCATATAGGCCTCTCCTTGGTGTGAAACGTCTTTGAGGATGACTAACTCTGTTCCACAGCTCTGCTCTCAAACAACAGACAACCACAGACCGAGGGGTGATGTCATCACTACTCCGAAGAAAAAACTAATTGACTTTTTTTTTTTCTTTCTCCTCGGCTGTTTGTTTTTCACTCTATTCTTCATTTGTTTCTTTTTGATCATTCTTTGTTTTTTCTTGTTTCTTCTCTCATGGGCACTCGCTCTTCCTCTACCTTTCTTTTTTCCCTCATCTGCCTCTCCGTATTTCATTCATCCCTTGCCCCTTGAATTCTTTTTCTCCCCATCTCTCCATCCTTCCCTTCCTCTCGCCCTGTCTCTGACCCTCCCACCTCTCCTTCTCTCTTTTCTCACCTTTCTTCATTTCCCTTCCTCCTCTCTCTCCCACATTTCTTCACCTTTCCTTCTCTCCTTTTCTCTCTCCCTCAATCTCCTTCTCAGTCGCTACTCGCGAAGGTGGAACAGACTCTGCAGAAGGAAGTGCCGGGCGGCGGTCAAATCGCAGGTTTTCTATTGGTTGGTCATCTTCCTGGTTTTCCTCAACACTCTGACCATCGCCTCTGAACATCACCAGCAGCCTCAGTGGTTAACTGATGTACAAGGTATATGAGCACACCTCACACACATTCATACACATACACACAAAAACTGACATATGTCTGATCTGTGATAAATTATTCACCTTTCTGCATTATCTACCACCCCCACCTCCTTACCCATGTCATCTCCATTTTTATTCCTCTCTTATTTTTTCTTTTTCCCACCCCTTCCACATTCCTTCGTGCCTCCTGTCTTTCTCTCCTTTCCTGCCTTCTCCTCAGACATAGCTAATAAGGTGTTGCTAGCACTCTTCACTGGTGAGATGCTGTTGAAGATGTACAGTTTGGGCCTACAGGTAGGAGGCTAATAAGTCAATGCTTTTAGTTGGAAACGGACACTCTTTTGTGATTTCTACAATTGTCCTGACAAACGTAAACTCCTGACCACTGTTTTCTACCTTTACACTCTTTGTCTTGTCCCCTCGCTCTCTACAGGCGTACTTTGTTTCGCTCTTTAACCGCTTCGACAGCTTCGTAGTATGTGGAGGAATTCTGGAGACCATTCTGGTTGAAACCAAGATCATGTCTCCTCTCGGCATCTCTGTGTTACGCTGTGTACGCTTGCTACGAATCTTCAAAATAACCAGGTTAATAAAGACATTTGTAATATCAACATTTACTGAACAGAGTTTTATTAACAAGTGCCTTTGTCCTTCTGCGCAAACACTCACACATACTTTGAATGTCAGATACTGTTATACTGGACAATGAAAGCATCTATTGTATTACCCAATGTCCTCTGGATGCATCATTTTGCACTCTATAGACAGGAAAGAGAGAATGCTGCTTGACTTATAATAAGTTATGAATGAATGACATATTTTACATTTCACTTGAATGTACTTTTATATTTGTACATCAACATATATTTTTATAATAGAGTTTACGGTTTTAACTGGATGTCTCCCCCCCAGATACTGGAACTCACTGTCCAACCTGGTGGCCTCCCTGCTAAACTCCGTTCGCTCCATCGCTTCCCTGTTGCTCCTGCTCTTCCTCTTCATCATCATCTTCTCCCTGCTCGGCATGCAGCTCTTTGGGGGAAAATTCAACTTCGACGAGACCCGACGCAGCACCTTCGACAACTTTCCCCAGTCTCTGCTGACTGTGTTTCAGGTAATGACACTATAAATGTTCCTGCTCTCTGTCTTGTTCTGTTGCTGTTTCCTCTTCCATCTTGGTTCATGTTCAATTCGCAGCTTGTGTCCATGAAATTATGGTCTTAATTTGCTCAGTACAACAAAGTTTAGAAGTCATTTAAACTACTATGAGTTTTTGAATGAAATTAAATCTAATCTATCACTGACGCAGGTGAAAATCTAATTTAAATCCAAAGATTTTCTTTATGCAGATTTTTGCTCCATTTCTTTCTTTTTCCACAGATCCTAACAGGAGAGGACTGGAACTCTGTGATGTATGATGGCATCATGGCGTACGGTGGACCCTCCTTTCCTGGCATGCTGGTCTGCATCTACTTCATCATCCTCTTCATCTGCGGAAACTGTATCCTACCACTGCAGAGGTCTACATGAGATAGGTGATGTGGATCTGAGGGGAGGTAGAGGTATGATAAATAATGACAAGGACTGAAAAATCTGTGACAAGTCTGGAGATAAATTTTATCCCGTCAAATGGATAACAGTGTGACTACTTGTGATTTGAATAAAATCGTATGCAGTTGCAGGAGGGAAGGATCTGTTTTGCATAGGAGGAAGCCAGAACTGTTTGCTGTAGGTCACTAAGTATTGCCACTCAAGCAGTTGGGAGTTCAGTGTCTTTCAGGTTCAGAAAGGTTACTAATTATTCACGTAGCCTGCCAGGATTGTTTGCAGCCAACCTGACTGATCTGATGGATCAGCAACATCCTTAACTTCAACCCTCTAAAACAGATATCCTACTGAATGTCTTCTTGGCCATCGCTGTAGACAATCTGGCCGATGCTGAGAGCCTGACATCTGCCCAGAAAGAAGAGGAAGAGGAGAAAGAGAGGAAAAAACTGGCCAGGTAAAGCGGAAAGAGAAAGAAAGACAGGTACAAGTTGGCTGAAGAAAAGAAAGAGGAAAAGAAAACATTTTTGTGTCTGTAACTGGTAGGGGGAGAGGAAGTTGGAGAGTTTGGCAAATTTCAACAGCATGAAGGGAAAGCTTTATCTTACCACATCCTGGATAGTCAGTAATGCCCAAAGATATTTGCGGATTCTGATAGTAGAGCCTTGAAATCAAACTACTAAAAATGACAATTAGAACATGACTGTATTATTAGGTTTTTAAGACAGGCTGTCTAAACCAATTTTATTGGGTAATTTTAGCGTCTCATTGCCTGCAAAGGTAATTTGTCAGCAACGGTAATGTGAGATTTTTAGTGCAGCTGAGGAAGACACTGTTTCCCTCAGTGACACAAATCATTAAATGTCTCCTTCTTGGTTGCAACCTGTATTGATCTGAAGAAAAAGTGTAATCGAAAACAATAATTTGCCTGCCCACTATCCTCTTGGTTTGATTATAACAGCACAGCCACTCTCTATGATTGAAATACATCCCCTCATTGAAAATGTGACATTTTTTAAAAGTGTTTATTTTGTCCTTGTGGTGTTAATTTATATGTGGTTCAATAAAAAAAACAGTAGATTAACGTGGGCTCAGTCCACTAGGGTTGGGAAAATGCTTAAGGTGAGGATCTTTTCTCCAGGCTTGCCAGTCCAGAGAAGCGTCATGACAACGAGAAGCCGCCTCTGGAGGAGGAGAAGAAGGAGAAAATAGAGCTGAAGTCCATCACTTCTGATGGAGAGACCAACACTGCTACTAAGGTGCACACAAACACACACACATCAAGAAAGACTGAAGTAGCCACATACTCCAATAAGTGCATGCATGTATGTTTTCGGAGAAATGAATGAACAGATGAATTAATGTAATACTCTCTCTCCCTCTGCAGATCAACATGGATGACTACTGTGGAGATGAGACTGAAGAGAAGAATCCATATCCTGCAAATGATTACATAGGTAACGCACAGCACAACCGCAAACCATATGTGTGTAAGGAGTATTAAGGCGTGAGTGGGTAAATGAGTAAATGAGTACATGAATGAACTTGTACATCAACAAAAAAAACAACTTTTTCTCATATCTTTCCTTCCTCCCTTTTTCTTTCTCTTCCTCCTCTCTGTCCTCCTCATCAGGAGACGATGATGATGATGAGCCAGAGATGCCAGTGGGCCCGAGGCCGCGGCCACTCTCCGACATTCAGCTGAAGGAGAAAGCCATTCCCATGCCTGAGGCCCGTGCTTTCTTCATCTTCAGCCACACCAACAAGTAAGAAAACTCCACGATTCTGCCTCTCTTTTTGTTTCTTCCCCTATACCTTCCTTTTCTTCCCTGTCTTCTGTTTCTTCTGATCTCAGTCTGTTTCTGTCTGTGCTTTATCATCCTCTTAATTCCCATCTCTTAAATTTCTTGATCATTCAAAATTTCCAGTTATTTTGTCTATCAAGAGACTCGAATACGATTATCTCACTCTGTCTCTCTCTACCTGTGTTTCTCTCACTTTATTTTCTAGATTCAGGGTTCTTTGCCATAAGATCGTCAACCACAACATCTTCACCAACCTCATCCTCTTCTTCATCCTGCTCAGCAGCATCAGTCTTGCAGCAGAGGACCCAGTCAAGAATGACTCCTTCAGAAACCAGGTGACAAACCAAAAATACACATTATGTACGTAAATACAGTATAAACACATACAAGGCTGAATATACATTAGGGCACAAACAGACGGGAACCCTGTAGCCATCATTAGTTGCCCACACGCATTACTTCTGTACTAAATGGATTATTTCTAACAGCAACATATAGAGGAGCCTAAGCTTATTGTGACTGGCCTGTTACACTTAATGCGATTTCTTCCAGAGTACTGTAACTGTGATTAACTTCATGTTAAGAAGATGTGAAACGCCTGTTAAAACATACAAAAACCATGGTTAGAAAAATTATACCCTTCAGGCTTTTTGTTCACCAGCATTTAACCGAGAACATTTATTGATAGTTTTGTTTAATTTACACATACAACTGTCTTTCTATCTCCAAGCTCAAAATATATGAAACGTTATCTGTACATTTCTATGCAACATCAGAACACTAATAAAGCATCGCTATGTTGTTTATATACTGATGTGCTTATGGCTGTAATTGGGTCAGAGTCTATAATTGTGAACTGCATGTGCAATGCAAAGACTGTGCACTGTGTGTGTTGTATCTGTTTCTGTACATTATTTCTTCTCTCAGTAAGCAAGACAAATCCCCCGGAGGCTAATAAAGATCTATTTTATTGTATTTTCCATGGCTTTGGTATGGGCTGCTGTATTAGTCTACTCAATTAACCTTCATCTTAAACCTTAATGACATAATTCATCCTGTTTTTCAGACTCTGTTTTGTTTTCAATGTCTAATTCAGTCTTATCGGAATTCATTATCCTTTGACCTCAACTTCAGCATTATTATTTCAGTATGTTGTGGAGTCATCCAGGACCATATCCTCACAGCCGACCACAAGTTGTTGTAGTGTGGTTCTAAACCCTAGGAATGCTTTTGTGTAGTACTCATCTAATTCTAAAACAACGATGCTCTTTGTTGTATTTTCAGATTCTGGGCTATGCAGATCATGTCTTCACTGGACTGTTCACTATAGAGATCATCCTTAAGGTATAGTGTTTGGCATTTACGGTGTAGGATTAGTGGCCTACATGATCTTTGTGTGCTACAGTACGCATTCTCTGTAGTTTGATATGGTCCAAATCTCTCTCTGCATGTGGGAGTCAGAAAAGCCTCCAAAAGGCAGCTGATATTTGGCCGTGTTTCCAAAAATTCCCTTCTCATCTTGTACTTAAAGGCAGCTAAAACAAAGGCTAAGAACTATTTGCAGATAATATGTGAACCTGTATGTGGTCCATCATATATGCTCATCATGTGCAGTATTAAGATGTGGTATTTGACCCTTTGATCTCTATAGATGACAGCCTATGGAGCCTTCCTCCACAAAGGTTCATTCTGTAGAAACTATTTCAACATCCTGGACCTGGTGGTGGTCAGTGTGTCCCTCATCTCCTCTGGAATACAGTGAGTGCATTATAATGTCTGTCAAACACTTTCGGGTTCTTCTTCTTTTTAATCTAAAGTCTTGTACACCTGAATTACGTGGCGACAATCCCAAACAACGTTAGTGTAGCTTACAGTGTCATGAAATGTACATTTGTGTTATTACATGTGAGAACACCAGTCAGCCAAATAGTGACTACTGCATGAGACACAGTCCAAGTACACACAAATCAAATGGAGTGGCTAAGTGGGGAAAATGTTTTCGTTCGTAAATTGCCCTATGCTTCATACTTCTCTCTATTCTCTAACAACTTTACACTTCATTACTCCCAATCCTTTCTCTCTTGGTGATGTTTATTAAAAATGTTCTCTGCTTCTTGTAGCAAATAAGTCCTTTGAAATGCTTTGATATCGCTGATGTTTAATATGCTATACCACACTCTCTGTCTCTAATTCTTAATAGACTAGACTTCTCGACGTAAGTCCATATTAGTCCATATTAATAACCCTATTAACAGACCTTCACTTTAAATGTCTAAAACTGTCACACTTTTGAGTTGGTATTTCTATGGTCTTGGAGAGTTTAGTCGAAGCCTCCCTCAAAGGAAGAAAATAGAAACATTATAGACATGTGTAGTTTAGCAGGATTTTACTGTATAGATAATAAATGGGTAATTTCTTATTATGTGTGCTTTTACAGGAAATGCATGCCAAAATGCCTCTTTAAAGGCAGCAGCAACGTGGGTTTGTTGTGTTTCTTTGGGTAAATTACCCTGATACTGTAGATACATATCATATCCAATTAATGGTAGTAGGTTTGTTCATCTGTTCCTTGTCATAGATTTGGGAGCAGGTCTGACTGAGTTTTCATATTTCTGGATAAAGTGAACTCTCCTGGGCTATAGAAATGACATCTGAATGCTAAAACACAGTGTTTTTTGCCCGTTAAAGGTAGTAAGTGGGTGGGATTTTTCTTGAATGATTCACAGTCAAATTAATTGTGACGGTGCTGCATCTGGTAGCGTCTGCAGGCGGTGTATTTGTTTAATTATTTAGCAGTGATGCTGTTTTACTATTATTGCTACCCAATGATTACATATCTATCTGATTGAGTATAAATCTATACATCTCTCTTCTGTAGTTGTAGAAAAGCTGTAAAAGCAGAAAAGTCATACTTTATATACACTATTGATATTACAGATGACTTGACATCAGCAGACATGAAAGAACCATGGCAGCTTGGCCAGTGTGAAACAATATCTGAAGACCTGATATCTATTTTTGATCGAGCACTCCATGTCTTCCTCATCAGATAAATAGTGTACAGTAACAGGTTCTTCATCCCCATCAGCTCAGTAAATTGAAGTACGTTTTTTAAAGTTATGTTTAAAATTCAGTTGACATTTGTCTGGATCCTACTGTCACTAAAACATATCCTCACAGCTGGTTTGACTGTGTAATGTTACTGATAACATCCCACTCCACATGAACTACCTTTAACTGCCCTTAAACTTTACCTTCCTGTGTAAAAAGTTGCGAAACGGGTCTTTTCCTTACTGTCTGTTTAAAAGTCAACAGAGTAATGTCTTTCCTTTTAAATCACTCCCTTAGCCATTTAAAAAGTCACTCCCTTAAATGGATACATTGACATTTTGAATATATTTTTTTCTGTCTACCTTTGTCATACTGTGGGAAAAGGTTTTTGTGTTTGTTCTTCCGTTAACTGAATAACTGGCTTATTAGCCTTTCCCACCTAAAGTAAAAATAAAAGATACTGGCAGATATCAAGTAGTAATAATTACATTCGTACAGCCTCATTCAGATTACCGAAGAACCAACGTTCAAGCTTTTTCCAAATATTTAAAATAAAATTCAAAATGTCAAGGTAATCATTTGACTCTTTTGTTTTGTATGTAAAACTTTTCCTTTCAACCACTTCCTTTAAAAGGTTACACTCTTTGACCTTTGGCACATGCTGACACTCTCTTAAAGCACAATAATGCTCTGTTTGCCTGTGAATGTCTGTTTGTGTCTCTGTTGGTCTGTGTGTGTGTTGTACTGTGTATGTTTGTCCATGTATCATATGTATCTGTGTGTTTTTGTTATTGTACAAAACCTGATATGGATAAATAACCAATACTTTTGGAGGTGCTATCAGTCAACAATATCATTTTCTAAAACAAGTATATGATTAATATTTGAATAGTAATTTCTGAAATTTAATAAACTAGAGTTTAATCCATTTTTTATTTGGCCACTTAAATTTAAGTAAAAAAAGATGTTTGATTTCTTCCAATCCCCCTGTTATTTGTTATAGTAGTAAGAGTAGTTTGAAATATGTTTTTTTTGCATACTTTCTGTAACAATGATATTAAGCAAACATATATTCTTGATTTTGCACAATTTAAGTCCACCTTTACTTATCTTTAAAAAGAATCATGGTTATTTTCATTTATTTCTTTTTTAAATGTTTTCAGCATTATTTTTCTTTTTGAGAATCACATACGATTTTGTTTCTGTTCACTTGTTTTTATCTTTTGAATTTCCTTAGCTTGTGTGTCGAGTTGTCTCAATGTCCTCTGTTTGTGTTAAAAATCTTAAACACAGATGCTATTGAAAGTTCCCTAGGATGTGTGTAGTTCCAACCTCGCAAATATGTCTCAATGGTAAAATCTGTGTGTAATCAGATTGGCTGGTTCAGTAGTTTAATCTCCTGTGTTTTGCAGGTCCAGTGCAATTAATGTGGTGAAGATCCTGAGAGTTCTGAGAGTGCTCAGGCCACTAAGAGCCATCAACAGAGCTAAGGGACTAAAGGTTAGCACAATCAGACATAAAGACACATAAAACACACTTACACTGTTCCTAACAAGACACACACACACACACACACACACACACACACACACACACACACACACACACACACACACACACACGTCTATATATATATATATATATATATATATACTTACTGTCATTTCTGGTGTGTTTTCCAGCATGTAGTGCAGTGCGTGTTTGTGGCCATCAGGACCATCGGCAACATCGTCATCGTCACCACGTTGCTCCAGTTCATGTTCGCCTGTATTGGAGTACAACTCTTTAAGGTAAAGAGGAAAGGAAGGTTAGAGGGAAGAGCTGTTATGATCATGTTTTTTAAAATTAGTGCTAACGTACAGTATTACATTTCTATGTTTTTCCATCAGGGCAAGTTCTTCTACTGTACCGACAGCTCTAAACAGACTGAGGCAGAGTGCAGGTAAGAGATCCCTCCTCCACACACACGCTTGTTAATCTCTATTTAACAACTGGATGAAACAAAGATGTGAATATGTGTTTGTGTGTATGTGTTGCTCTTCTTGTATTTATAGGGGTTCCTACATCATGTATAAAGACGGTGACGTGGGGAAGCCTGTCAGAGCCTCGAGACTGTGGGAGAACAGTGACTTTAACTTTGATGATGTCCTGCAAGGCATGATGGCTCTGTTCGCTGTGTCTACCTTTGAGGGGTGGCCAGGGTGTGTGTCTACATACAAACACAATGCACATACAGTATATATTGATGTCCCTATTGTATGTACACTGTGTGTTTGCTTTTTAAATTTTTTCTCAGTATCCTCCCATAACATTTCAAATATTTAAAGTGTTTTACTTTAGGAAATTAAGGTTTAAGTGCCTTTCTTCTCCTCCTCTTACTGTCCTATATATTGACCTCCTGTCACTCAATAAATCTTCCCTCTCTCTCCTGCTTGCCCTCAGGTTACTGTACCGGGCCATAGACTCTCACGCTGAGGACGTCGGGCCCATCTACAACTACCGTGTGGTTATCTCCATCTTCTTCATCATCTACATCATCATCATTGCCTTCTTCATGATGAACATCTTCGTCGGTTTCGTCATTGTCACATTCCAGGAGCAAGGAGAGCAAGAATATAAGAACTGTGAGCTGGACAAGAACCAGGTAGTGTCCGTGGGTGTTTAATATGAAGTTATAACTGAATTTGTGCAGAGCATTGCTGTGTAACTACAGTTTTATGCTTTTTGTCTAGCAGCTAAATAGACATGAAGTATGAGTTTTCAGGTTACAGTAGAAGACAGAGTGACTCTGCTGTTCTGACTGAAGTGGGAAAGTCATTTTGTCATTCAGGAGGCACAAGGGAGAAATAATGGAGGCCAGGCAGTGGGGGTGACACATGGAAGAATCTGGAGAGGCTGAACATGAGTTTTAGGGGCTGAACTACTTCAGGAGTCCAACCAGGAGGGAGCTGCAGCAGTTCAGACAGAAGATGAGACTAAAGCTTAAAGAAGGAGCTAGGCCAAGTCCCTGCATCTGTGTTCTTTGCGATGATCCATGTCTGAGAAAAAACATGGAAACGTAGATAGAGAATAGAAGAATCGTCTGGGATGGAAAAGGCTTTTGTAGACTGCCAAAAGACAATTCTACAGCTTTTCCTCCGTGATGGTCTGAGTACAGAGAGACAGAATGAACAGGAGTTGGGAAACTACATCAGCAGATAAATTTAAAGGAAAATGTCAGTGTTTGTGCATATTTACGTGTGTGTGTGTGTGTGTGTGTATCACAGCGTCAGTGTGTGGAGTATGCCTTGAAGGCCCGTCCATTGCGCCGCTACATCCCTAAGAACCCCTACCAGTACAAGGTGTGGTATGTGGTCAACTCCACCTACTTTGAGTACCTGATGTTCACACTCATCCTTCTCAACACCATCTGTCTGGCCATGCAGGTGAGTCACACATTCGTTGACTAATTCACATACACACATAAAATGGGGAAATATAACCATCGCGGCACCTCCCATAAAACTACCACTCGGTGGACATTACTGAAGTGTTTGTGTGTCTTTGCAGCATCATGGACAGACCTCAAATTTCAATGATGCCATGAACATCCTCAACATGCTCTTCACTGGACTTTTCACTGTGGAGATGATCCTTAAACTGATTGCCTTCAAACCAAGGGTAGGTCCACTACTCTAACCGCAGGATAGAATAACAGAGACTACAGTAAAGTAGAGCAGCACACAAAATATAATATACAAATCTATGTACTAGTTACAACCAGTGAGAAGAGAAAACAGACATTTCAGCCATCGAATCACATTTATTGCAGATAACCTCTTACTGATGTTGTTCTGTTTATTCCTTATCCCTTTTTGATTTCCACCAGATGGTAATTACGATACCATGGATGTAAAACATGATTAGTGGACGGCATCATGTGGTTTTTAATCTCACTGCTCCCTTGTTACCCTTCTGTTGTTGTGAAGTACATGTAGATGCGTGGGTTTATTGGTCCAATCATAGAAGTTCTTGGTGCATCAGCTATTTAAACAGTAACAGATGGGAATGCTTCCATCTTCTGGAGCAGAGTAAAAAATGAAAAGGAAAATCCTTGAACACAATCGATAGCAAAAACATAATTTAATATTACATTTGTACTCTTATCTCTATTGTTGCACAGCACAGGTAGTAAATCAAAAGATGAGTTTAAGTTTCCAGAATCACACAGCAATGACAAAACACATAATGGCTCTATACTTCACAGCTCACTGTCTGACTTCTTTAATACACTGAAGTTAGTTTGAGAAATATGATGTTTAAATTAAACCGCCTGCTAAGGGTAATTTTTTCTTTGTCTTATTTTTAGACTCCCCTCCAGGATACCTAGCAACAGTAGCAGAGTCACTTTTACACATTATGCTCATTCAAATCAGTATATTATAACCAAGTTCTAAACTACGAATTCAAACTACCACTGGTTTAAAAAATACCATTATTTTTAGTTTTAAGTTAATTGCTGGAAGTTAGTCGTTGAGATTAATGAATGTCATCCACAAAAATATCAGCATGGGAGCCAAAGATTTCTAACTACTAATTAAAACTTAATTCTGTTGTTTTTCTAATTAGCTCCAAAGTCCAAATCATGTTCTACAAAATGTGTCATTTTATTAGGATGGATGAAAGATGATTATCTTGTAATAACTTTTGAAAGTAATTATCTACTTAGACCATTTAGTCTGAGTAACATAAAACGTGCCCTGTAGTATTTTCAGACATAGGCAGACCCAGTTAAAATAAACCCATGCAGGACAACTTTTAGGGCTTGGAAATTGACATCATGCTGCACTGCATTATTTATGTAATGTTATGCAATGTTTACCTCAAGTAAGGGTGCTGTAAACTGCCAGATTTTTCTTTTTTTTAATGAGGGTTTCTTTAAAACAAATAAACAAACGGATACTTGTTTGTCTTCTTTCATCGGTTTAATCTATAGTACGGCATGATGACATATTCCCAAGCCATAATGAACAATGCTAATGAAATTGGCTTATTGTTTCCAAAACACTGGGTGGGTGAGTGAGTTTCAACTTTAGGATGTACCTTGTTTTCTATGGTTTGACTTTGATAAGCTCTTGCCTTAAACAGCTGTCACACAGAGAGGACCAGCTTACTAACACTTTTACTTCTCAGGTATTACAGCTGTCAAATCAGACACCTGGAATTAGCTGCAGTAACGTTTATTCTATGTAGAAGATTTGTGCTAATGCATTTAACTTTTGAACAGGTTTCACTATCTCAGTCTCCGCCATGGAACAGCAACACTTACAATGATTTGCTGTTTTTACTGTGTTTTTTGGTTTGAATGCTTGAGTACATTTTTTATGAATCTCTTATTGGTGCATAATAGTTCCTGCATAACCCCAAATTATTAAAGCCTGTGTAATCTACCATATGTTCAGTTTTAATCAATGCATATATCAGCTTTTGGATACTAGTGCTGAGCTCTGTTTCACTAATGTTTAACTGGTTTTACATTAATAATCTTATGCCTCAAAACAACTAAATTAAAGAGTTTTGATTTTTATGATGATACATCAGGTGCTGATTACAGATGATGAAGCTCAAAATAGATCAATAAAATCGATCTTCTCTCAGCATCCCTCTGTATGCTCCAATTTACCAGTTTGAGCAAACAACTGAATAGGATATGTTGTTGTGTATACAACTTAATGTTTGTTGTTGAAAGTTATACAGTTATTCTTAAGGTTTACAGAGTGCACTATTGGAAAACAATTAGCCGGAATCTGAATGAGATGTAATTTATTTTACAGTATATGGAAATCATTCTGAAAGGCCTCGTGCCGGCCAGCTTGGCTGTTATTCTAAGCTCACTTAAGTATGCCCAAGCAGGTGTGTCGACACCAAGAAATAAGTCCCTGGTTCATAATAACTTTCTCAGATGCACCTCTCTCTGTTTACAGTACAGATGGTGTCATTTTATCTTACTAGCGTAAGTAATACTGTTTTGGCCTGATGCTGTAAAGATGTTTTTCATAAGTGCCCACTCTGTACCACTGCTGATGATGAATAGCCCACAATAAGTTAAGTAAACAAAGTGACTTTTCATAGTCACTGCCACAGCATTGCAGTATCATCCCAAGATGCAGGCAGAAGACCTAAATAACTGCTATCTAACACGCCATCCTTAACAGAGCAGGAAATTCAGCTGCACTTGATGAACAGATACTGTAAAGGAGACAAGTTGTTTCTGTTCATTAGAATTAGAAATAAAATGTGTCCTTTCATGTGTTGTTTCATCAAGCGTAGCTGATTTTTCTGTTTCCTAAGTGTACTGTACAACCTCATACCACCTTAATAGGGCTGCGAAGTGGCAGCAGATGTTGTTTTCCTTCTAACCTACCTTTCTTACCCTCCTCCTCCTCCTCCTCCTCCTGCTCACCTCATCCTGTGTAGGGGTACTTTAGTGATCCCTGGAATGTGTTTGATTTCCTCATCGTAATTGGCAGCATAATAGACGTCATTCTCAGTGAGATCAACGTAAGTACGATGCCCACTTTCACACCCCTCTCTCTCTCTCTCTCTCTCTCTCTCTCTCTCTCTCTCTCTCTCTCTCTCTCTCTCTCTCTCTGTCTTGTGCCCTCTTATTTCCCCTAAATCTTTCATTTCTGTCAACTCTCCTTTCCTTTGTGTCTATTCTGTGTTGTGCTGTCTTTTCTCTTCATCTCGCTCTCTTCTTTGTCTGCCACTATTTTCTCTCCTTCGTCTACCTTCTTCTTCTTCCATCCTTAAATCCAAGATGGCCGCTTCCACTCAGGGGACCCCCCAGCCGCAAAGGTTCCTGAACAAGAACAAGCTTCTTCCTGTCTTTCATAAAAAAGTAGAGGCAACAGAAGCAGGGTTTAGCTTTGAACGCAAAGGGTTTCGGTCTTGCGTCCTCCTTCCTTACAGTATCTCAAATGTTGTTGGGTCCTTGAATTTTTTTTTCAATTTTTGTCAGACTGTGACATGTCCTCAGGTTTGATTCCCTAACTAACTGAACTAACTCACTGACCAATCACAAACAGCCTTACACGCCTTTTCATTTTCTAACTGCAGCAGCAGGGGCATTTTTTAGTTGTGATTGTGTTGCAATTTGTTCTTTACTGTTGTTCTTGTTGTTGACATTTTCCTCTCATGGATAAGCATGACCGATCGCCGCTGCTCTTCCTCTGCTGTCCATCTCTTTCAGACTGCAACTTCTTTTCTTTTTTTGCCGTTTAATTTTGTTGTTTCTTTCCCTCTCTCCTCCTACTAAAAACTCCAGTGCTCATGGATATAATATTTTTTATCTTATTTTTCTCCTCTCTCCTTTATTTTCTGTTCTTTCCATTTTTTTAAATGTCTTATGTTCTGTCCTTTTTTTCTGTTGTTTTTCTGTCCTGTCCACCCCTACGCAGCATTATTTTGTTGATGCATGGAACACATTTGATGCCTTGATAGTTGTGGGTAGCATTGTTGACATAGCGATCACTGAGGTTAACGTAAGTAGTCCAACTCCCTCCCTCCCTTCCTGCCTGCCTGCTCTGCCATTCCCACACACACAAACAGGCCGAGCACGATACCCATCTCGCATGCTTTCAAATGATTAGGAAACTTCAGCTGCACAACATTTGAACTTAAGAGATGGCTGAATAAGTCTGGCAGTGAAAACAGCCAGATGTAGCACAATCAAAACAGAGCACAGTCCTCTCTGAAGGGTTTGTGTAATTTAAAACATATGAATATACGATTTTTATAGTTTCTTCCCTCAACATCTCAATATCTTTTTACATGGTCGATTTTTTTCGTTCCATCATATTATTTGTTAAAATGTAATTATAACATCAGAGGCAGCAGAACAACTTGTTTCCGAACTTGTTCTCAATGTTCTGCCACACCTGTACCTTGTCACTCAGTTTATATTCAGCAGTGTAATAAGGCTGCAGACCAAACTTTCTTTTAATTGCAAGTGTTTTGTTTTGATTTTCTAATATTTGAAACGGTTCAGATGGGTATTCATGCTTCGGTCTGCTGAGCATCAATAGCATCAATAACTATTGCATTTGTCAATAGAACCTATTGCATTGTCTCAGCACTGGGTTTGGTTTCACATTGGGTTTATTTGATCTTTAATCACTGCCACAGGGGATAGTGTCCATTCCCCTGGCATGATGGACACTGTATAGCATGACAGATATAAAGGTGGTATATCCAGGCCTGGTACTAAATATAATGTTGTTTCAGAAATCTATTGCTGTTTCAGAAAAGAACCACATTTTCTACAAATGTTAGATTTTTTGGAAAGAATGAAGGAATGCAGATTTTCATTCTTGGACAATGGTGTTTTTTGACCGCAGGGTCATGAAACTCTCAATTCATAGATCACCAGAGAAACTTTAAATTCAAATACAAGAAAAATACAAGTTGCTATTGCGTTTTTTTTGTTTTGTTTTTTTTTTTGTTATTTTTGTCCAACAATAGCATTGTGTAGACATGGGGAACAATTTGATCCATAAATGGATTTACTCAGGACCCATGAAATTTATGTAAATGTATGTATGAATTCATTTATCATCGACGTGAAGGCCCTATGCTCAACAGTGGGGCTGAATAAGAATGAATATCCCAAGCACAAGTCAAATGTTGAGTGTCTATTGTATTTACACTTCAGGGATAATTGGTGTTTTATTCATGTGATATTTAAAGCGCTCTTTGGCAGAATAGTCTGAGAACCATGCAAAAATGAAAAGTGTGACTGGGCAGAATTCCACTTCATTTTAGCCTTAGAAGAAAATAATTTTGTACTATTATTAGACTGGCCAAAGAGATGAATGTCACATTAAAAAAAATCATTCTTTATACTGTGAAGGAGGTTTTTGTAGGAAAGTATATCTTTTCATCCATTTGATGCCTCGCCTTCCATCTGCAAACAAAAATCTCGAGTAGCAAACATCCAGTGAAAATAACTCAGAAGTCAAAATGTAGTGTAAGTGGCAATTCAGTGGGTGGAGGAGGTTCTCTGTGAGGTCAAGTTTGATGTGCTGTCTGTGTGTCAGCTTATAAAGACACGCACACCCTACAAATCAGTTAAAATATACATCATCTCATCTCCCTGTGGATAATCCTCTAAATGCAATAATGTAGTGTTTTATAAAATAAAGACTGAAAGCAGGGACAGACAGCTAGGCTGGCTCTGTTGAAAGGTAAAACCTTTACCTCTAAAGCCTGTAAATTAATCTGTTTAATTCATGCAAAAATTATAGTGTAAAAACAATAAGTTGCTGTTTTACAGGAGGATTTTGTTGCATTTGGACAGAGCTAGGCTAGCTTTTTGCCTGTTTCCAATCTAAGCTAAGATATCCTCCTGCTGGTTCCAGCTTCATATTTAACCAGAAGACACAGAAATGTTCTCATCTAAATCTCAGCAAGAAAGCAAATGAATGTAATTGTTTGATTATGTCACATCTGTTATTGGCTAATTTCTTTTGAAAACCAGATAACTTAAAGGGGGTTCAGCGTAGGTTTGGCCGAACTCTTCTCTCAGTCTCAACCGCAAGTATGCTGCTGGATCGATTTGAGAACATGAAGCAAGGAAAGGATATGCACACGGGTACACTGGTATGTTGCACCGTGATGGAATGCAGTGTGTTTCACCTCAGACTGGTCAGGCATACAAATAAGGTTAGCGGATCCCAGGGGCGTATGAGCTTGGCACTTGTTTTCGTGCCTTTAGAAAGGGAATCCATTTGTCCCCATGAGAGGCTGACAAACCTGCTTATAAACAACACTCTAAACTGTGCTTGGATATTATATGTTTTATTCAGTTTTTCTATCTAGTTATTGCAGGAATTTGATGTCGGGAATTACAAATGTATCATAAATGTCTGTATCCTATTGTTGCCCTGCAGACAATGAATTTATCTGATCTTGAAGCAAAGTATACAGTAGTTGTGTCTACAGAGAGGAGAATATAAAGTTACATAAATATATACATAGACCAAATCCTAACCTTTTAATAAATTATGTCAACTGGCGATATTTGACCATTGAATCGATTAGCCACGATTATCTTGAGGTTTGTCGGGCCAGAGATATACATCTTTGTCATCTATACAAGTCACTGATGTTGCACACTTTGGTTTGGAGTTTGCCTTTGATTTGGTTTGATTGATTTGGTTGATTGGTTTGCAGTTATTTCTGAATGATCCACTGTTTTTCTTTCTCACCTCTAACCTAAAGGCATGCCCCAAGTCTTTGTTTTTTCCTCTTTGGTGGTTTTTAATGATTTGGGTGATGAGATGCCCAAGCTACCTTTTCTTTTTCTTTTTTTCCTTTTTTTTCTTTTTTTTTCTCTCTTTTAAGAAACCCTCCGCACTTCAATCCTGTGAGAACTCTTGACTGTTTTTGAACTGGGACCCTGTCACTTAAACGTTTTAAATTTTAGCCTGCCACTGCATTTCACCAGGCACTAAAGCACAAGGGAATGCTTTTTAACGTACTGAGCAATGCGATTGGAAACTAATAGGAGCAGTTTGCCAGCAACTAGCGCTCTTTTACTGCATTCCTAAGTGCAAAGTGAAGTGCAGTAACAGGCCAGCTTTTAAAATGTTATCACTTTGCCTTTACTAAATATTAAATGGGCAAAATATCTTGTTTGAGTGCACCCACTTTGCTGCTCTGTTGGGTGCCTGTTGACTTAGATTAGCTGCATTTTTTGTGGTCATCGAAACAGAATCCATCCTTAATTCTCAATCTCTAATTCTCCCCAGCAACCTGCGGGTGCTTCTTAAACCTTGTATGGTTTCTTTTACATTTTTGGTTTTGGTTTGAGTAGAAGTAGTGTGAACAGATTGGTAGTGGTTTGCTCTGAGCGGTGTCTTGCAGACGATGCCAGTATGGACTGCATCTATTTCTCTTTTTCTTTCTCTGTCTTCGGAATGCCTCTTCTTCTCCTCTCCATCTCGCTCCTCCTCTCTTTGAGCTTTTTCAGTTTACTTGACTCTTCTTTTATGAATGTTTATCTCTCTCTCTCTCTCTGTCTTCTATCTCGTTGGTTTGCGGTGTTGCTTGCTCACCTGAAATGCAAGCTGGGTAACATGGGTCTCTCATGCTTTTCCAATGCACAAAAAGGTCAATCCATTATGTGCTATATATTTAAACAAAGATTCTGATAGTATTTTTTTATGTTTTCAATCCCAGCGCATTAAAAGTTAAATGAAAAGCCATTTTTATGTTGCAGTATTACAACATACAATATCTGTATCAAAAAGGTGCAGAAACCTGAAATCTAGAGTAAAAATGTCCTCAAGAAACCCATGTTACCTTCTGAACTGACTGAACTGATGAAATTTTTGCTTGAAAAAAATGATGTGCAATGTGAGAAAACAGCTCATTTTCAATTTAAGTAAGCTCATGATTCCAGTGAGCTACAACTACAGTAACTCACATCTGCACGTATAGTTCAGCCTGAAAGGACTACAGTTTATTCATTTACAGTTTGACTTTCTTTTGGGTCAAAAATGACACTCCACAGATCCTCAAACACCACAAGTCCACTGTAGTCTTTGAAATTTATTTTCTGTCAGTTCATAATGAGATATAACAATGACGAATGATTGTAGTTAAATCTGATTCGGATTCAAAGCTTTGGTTTGACTTTGAAACTGAAGCAATTTCAGATTTGAATTATGGTTAAACTGAACCAGCCGGTCCCTTTGTGTAACACACACACACATACACACAGACAAAGACGCACATTCTCACATATTTTAGTTTTAACTTAATCTGCATTTAGTGTGTATCAATGCCATCTTCCCTCCCTGCTTCCTTCCTTCCTTCCTTCCTTCCTTCCTTCCTTCCTTCCTTCCTGCACATCTGTCTTCCCTTTATCCATCACTGTTTCCTTCCCCACTTCCTTCTGTCCTTCCTTCCCACAGTTTTCCTTCCCTCCCCTTCACACCATAATGCACCTCACTTCTTCAGACTTGTACACACACACGCACACACATACACACACACATACACACATACACACACTCTCCTCAGGCTTTCTTAGCGACTCCTCTCTTTGTAAAATCTTGAAATCAGCAAATTGTCAGTGTCCTGGTTCCTGGTCAGTTAGAGAAGTGGTGTAGAGTAAATGTTTCTAATACACAAGTGTATTGGTAAATAATAGTAAATATAAATTAAGTAACCTGTTACTCTATGTACATCATCTCTATGTGTGACCATAAAAGTATGTGTATGGCCCTGTTAGAATTCCTTTAAATGCCTCATTCCTTCTCTTTCCTTCCTTCCTTCCTTCCTTCCTTCCTTCCTTTCCTTTTTTCTTTGTTATAAGCTCACCCTCTCAAATTCCATCCTTCTCTCGTTTGCTTTCCTTCTTTGTTCAACTTTTCTAGATTCTTAATTTCTTTATTGAATTTTTAATTTTCTTTAATTTTTTTCCTGGATACTTTCCCTTTCCCTCTTTTTTGCTTTCTTTCCACTTTCTTTGTGGTAAGGTATTGTAACAGGGCCAATACCAAAGCAGAATGAACAGCTCCCGAGTCATAGATTAAACTACTAGTTGATCTATCACCCCCAGCAGTCTAAGATGTTGCAATAGCAGGGAAGACCAGTGGGTGTCTCCCTACAATATGCTATCTTTGTGCTCCTTGATGTTATTTAAATACCTCTGGGCTACGATTTCCAAAAGCATCCAAAATCATCTTTATCATCAGTGGAACTGACTGAGATGATCTTAACTTCCTGTTTTTTATTGTGGTATTCTGATGCCTCTTTGACCTGAGAGTAGATTAAAGTTATGGTCTGAGTAACTGACAATTACTGGGCCACAACAACATACATAAACGAAGGTACATCACATCATTATTTCACAAGGTCCAAACTGCTCTAACTTCTTTTGGGTCTTGACTATTCTCAGGTCAAAGAAGGGACTGAACAACACATTGTCAAAGCAGGAATTCTCCTTAAATGCCAAGATGCATTTGGTAAATGTAGCCTTAGCTTCAACCACTGTTACTATACTGTACCTTCAGCTGGCAGAAAGAAAAACAGATAGCTACAGAACAGCCACTCTATCCCAACATACACAGAGATCCATGAGCTCACATGACATGGGTAAAACATATAAATGCTGCACATAGACACGTAAACAGTCAGCTTTTTCCCCCTCAGTGGCTGCCTCAACCCCCATTCATTATTTTGGCCCTTAAGGCGTGGGGCAGAATTTTCCCAATATTCCTTCATGTTTCAATCTTCTAGTATTTTGATAAGTGATTGAGTCTGATGAGGTCCTCACAGAGGATGAGGCCAGTCTCTATATGTAGTAAAATCTTACAGAAATCTCCCTCCTGGCCCAGATGAAATTATGTTTTCTTTACCTTCTCACCATGTGATGGTTAATCAGAGACTGAACTCTCACTAGCCTGGTGGTTAGCCTGGGCAAGTGTGAAATTCTTACTACTTTTCACATAAAAACACACACCTACATGCACGGTGACACACACACGCACACCTACACACACACAGCAAGGCGCTGCTCTGGTGCTGATCTTTGTTGCCTTTCCTTAAAGCCAGCTGACTCCTCCTCGTCCTCGTCCTCCTCCTCTTCGCCCTCCTCCTCCTCCTCTTCCTCCTCTCACCCCCCTGTGGTAAGGCCAATGGTACGCTCCGACGGTAACCTCGTCCGCCTCCCTACCTCCTCCATCATCCCTCCATCCCTCCATCCTTACATCCCTCCTTCTGCTACGCCATCCATGGTATGATCCAAAACTTTTGGCTTCTCATTGGTCCTGTCATCTCCTCTCTGTCGCTCCTGCTTTCATCTGCAGCATGTCCAGAGTAACATTTATATAGCTGTTCTTTGTACTTTTTACGTCTTCATATATATGTATGGTGAAGGACACTGTATTGTGTAGACGTTGTTTAACTGGAGTCTTGTGACTTTTCCTTGAGTGGCTATTATTGTTGCCATGGCGCCCGCTGCCCCCACCTCCCCCATGGCTTGCAATCTGCTATCCCTTCCCTTATGGGTTTGGTATCTTTAGTCGTTCGTCATTGATGCAAGCCATTGTGGTCATGCTATCACGCTGTCTCTCTTTCTTCCACTCTTCTCCACTGGCCTGCCATCTATGTATCTATCTATCTATGTATCTATCTATCTATCAATCTATCTATCTATCTATCTGTCTGTCTATCTATCTATCTATCTATCTATCTGTCTATCGATCTCTTTACCTATCTGCCTGTCTGTGAGTCAGTCTATTTGTTTGGATGTCTCTTAGTAATTCAAACTATTCTTCATCTTCAGTCTCTCTCTCTTTCTCTGTTACACTTACTGTCACTGTATCTCTCCCGCTCACTGCCCCCACTCTCTCAATGGTACAATGGTGCCCACTGTGGTCCAGTTGTGGTATTACATGCAGTACAAAATTTTGATTTACACTCCTCAGAACTGTGTGTCATTTTCCGCATATCTGTCAGTGGAGTTTGGGACAACTCATGTCTTAAAGTTACTTGTCAACACTACAGCAGAAATATGTGACTTCTCCCTGTTAAAAGCACCTCAGTGTTATTATCCCAGAATTATAGAAAGGTCAAATTTGTGTAATGAATTTCCTAAACTTTGATTTCTGTTCATCATCTTGGAAAACCAGATTCTGTTGAAAAGTAACATGTGATATCTGTTATCCCAAACTGCAGTAAGATGTGTGGAGAATGGCAAGTTCTTATTCGGAGCAAACTGTGTATTCTCTGTGGGATTAGCATTAAGAATTGATGGCTTCTTGGAAAAACACAAATGGCAAAAAAAGATTCACAGGTCAGAGAGGTTGATGTTGTGCTTTTTGGGTCTCACTTAATTATTACAGTGAAGACGTGTAATATGGCGCCGTGCTGGTTATATTGTCATGGTAGAAATGCTGCATTGTATGCGGTTAAGTAATTTCTATTATATAGTGGTGTATTTGTGTGGAGGTTTTTTCCTTGTTATTTTTTGCATAGCTGTTATAGTTGCTGATGGTTTGGTACCTGTATGAACTGGTGTCTTTGACCTGAAATGATTAATCAGCTGTTTGTGATGTAATTGTGAATAACACACCGGGTTCTTAGCTGCTGTATTAACTGCATTGTGCTTTACACAGATCCTGATGTTGCCTTTGTTATTCCGTCTTTTTGTCCCAGAGAACGAGGAGCAGCATCATAAATAAATAAATCTGTATTAGAATAGCACTCAGCAAGATGGCTGAATATTTCATCACAGAGTTATTTCCTGTGGATGACTTCTGGGACAGTAGACAGTTAGAAAGCTACAGTGTCTCTCAACCTTGTGCCTAAGAACTTTGATCAGGCTTATTTTGAAGTATACCAAATAATGGATTCTTTAAATGCCTTGAGAGGCAAAATATTTTATGTTCATAGCAAGAGGCTCTGCAAATAAAAGGATTGCGTGGGTAAATACAGTTTCTAGAAGATCTAGTAAACAGAAGGTAGAGATGAAGAGATTTGCCACCCATGAAATTATAATTTTGTACCTGGCAGTGGGCAGTATATCTTTATCTTTATCTTTATCTCTATCTTTACCTGAACGTCACCTTTGGATTGTTTCTCCAGGTGGCCAGTTTCTTTGTGGCAGACAAACAATTAGCCTGCCTGCATGATTTATTGAAACAGGAGTCTGCCTGCAGGCTAGGATTTTTGTACTGTATCTGTTTTGAATTGTTATCAGTGATTTATGGAAGAGCTTACCTCCATCAGTGGAAGTCTTTCTGGCCCAGTCTCAGTTATTAGAATTTTAGTCCATACTGGTGCAGAATAACCAAATCCTTCATCTCCGCTACATGATTTTCTTCAGGGGATCATAAAGTGTTTTAATGCTTATTTGATAAATGTCATTGCAACGCTGGGTTGGCCTGTAATTGGATATGGAAACAACAACCGAGAATTCTTTTGTCACCATTATTGTGACACTAATGAGGTGAGGTAGAAGGAACAGCAGAGTGTTGTGACTTCAAGAACCAGAGAAGCTGTTTTGGTTTTAGATGTTTCAATTAGCTTCCTTTAATGTGATCACTGTAAAGTAACTTTGACTTGTCTGATGGTTGGACATATCCAGTTTATAAGGAGAAACAGGGGCAGTTGATCTGTTGATCTCTTTGTTGCCAAGTGATTTTTCCATGAAGCCACAAAAATAAGCATGATTGCCCGATTCTCTCCCAGATCTCTTTTGTCAGTTGATTTTGATGGGATTTTGTAGGACGCAGATTTCCATTTATTAATTCAGTGTGTGTGTGTGTGTGTGTGTGTGTGTGTGTGTGTGTGTGTGTGTGTGTGTGCGTGCGTGCGTGCGTGCGTGCGTGCGTGCGTGCATGTGTGTGTGTGTGTGTCATGTATATTTACATCCACATGTACGTGTGGGTGGGAATATGCATACAAATGTTTGTACGTCTGCATTTCCACATATGTCTGTGTGCGTGTTTGTGTGTTTGTATGATCATTTTTACCCATGTGTGTGAATGTGTGTGTGTGTGTTTCCCTCCCTTGGCTATCTGCATGTGTCCCCATGCGTCCTGTGTTTTTTCTTAAAAAAAAAAAAAAAACACCAAACCCCACCAAAAGGGACTGCAGAACTCTGAAGAGAACGCCAGGATCTCCATCACCTTCTTCCGGCTGTTCCGCGTGATGAGGCTGGTGAAGCTGCTGTCTCGCGGGGAAGGGATTCGGACCCTGCTGTGGACCTTCATCAAATCCTTCCAAGTGAGGGGAGAACCGGACACAACATGCTAGAGCAGGGGGTTGGGTTTACACAGGACATAAATGGCAGAGGAAAAGTGGTGCTTTAACCCTAATGTGACCCTGATGCCCTGATTTGGAGACCATAGTTCTATTTAAACTAGGCCCCAAACTGACCCCAGAACAGTTTTTAACAGATTTTATGATCTAGTGAAAGTGATTTTGAAGACTGTATGCCAGTTGCAGGTGTTACAATGTCCTACTTTCAACAAGGCGATTATATGCATAATTAACTCAGAGTAGACTCATTTAATGTTTATAAATATGAATCTTGTAATTTCAGATCTGAGTCACATGGAGTTAAAATGTCCTTGTTCTTGTGTAAATCCAGCCTAGTGGAGTCTCACAAGCCACCTTTCCTTTCCTTGCCTCATCCCTCCTCATCTCCACCTCCTACTTGTTGAGGAGGTCAGGCGGATGGGACACATGAGTGTTTTGTCTGTTTACCTACAATATGATGGGGGAGGAGGGAAAGAAAGAGGGAAGGTGTGAGGTAACGGAGAGGAGGTTTAGGAGTCTCAGAGGCAGGGTGGGACGTAGGGACATGAAGTTGGGAAACAGGCAGGAACTCAAAAACCTTAATCACCAGTCCCCCTCTCCTGTCTCTTCTCGTCTTTCTCCATATCTTCTTCTTCTTCTACTCTTTTTACTCTCGAACACCCTACAACTAACCCCTGAGAGCTCACCATTCCCTTTAGGCGGGTTAAGCAGTAGTTAAGTTTAACAAAGCACTCCACCAAAAAATGAAATCATTTGATAGAGAGTTATGGGGACATGAAAATAATCTGCTCTCTCTCTTGTGTTAGCTGAGACGGGCCACTTCATGCAATAGTGCATTCAGTGAAATTTGAAACATTGGCGATACAGCAAAAACCAGATTCATGGTTCTCAAGTTTATAATCATGAAAGGTTGTGAAAATGTTACTGTACTTAACACAAATAAGCTTTTTAAATCTTACTGTGTCCTTTATCACTCTTTCATATATCAGTGGTTTACATATTAACTTAGTTTTTCATTTATCTGTCATGATTTGGTCCTGCTCTCCCAGGCACAAGGGCAAAATTAGCCAGGAGCTCAGTTCCACACAGTTGACCAGGTGTGTAAATATAGAAGACAAACTTGTTCCTGCCATGTTTGGTTCATGTACAATATGTTGGGACTGGTCTCCTGACTAAACTCAGAGAGCAGTTTGTATTTTACTGAGGTTTTTCACTCTGAAGTCAGATGATTTGTCCTGGATTGTTTTTGGTGTTGTGCCACACAGGGCTGCAGATCAGTTCACTTTCATTTCATATAGTAGCAAAATATTTTTCATATTGCCCCTGCTAATCTGAAAACCTAAAAACTATCAAATTGATGTGTGAATTGAATCAACACTTTTTTTTTTTTTTAGCAATTATCTCTTAAATCAGCTGTAGACGAATTGGATGTGTGAGATTTGAATGAAAGTGAATGAACTCCAGCCTAGGTGCAGGATATTCAATGTAGACAACGTGTCACTGATGTGTCTCTCTCCTCTTCAGGCTCTGCCCTACGTAGCTCTGCTTATAGTGATGCTATTCTTCATATACGCTGTCATCGGCATGCAGGTAAGCGGTCGTTTTGTTCCCGTGTTTCCCCGCCTGTCTTGTTTTCTTCTCTCTTCATTTCTCCTTTAGCAAGCCTTTCGTCCTGTGTCTGTCCTCCTGGAGTCTTGTCATCTACAGCTCCTGTTTGGTCACATCGTCCTCCTCTTCTCCACTTTTCTTCCCCCTCTAGCTGTTGATATGTAGTTACTGTCTTTGTCTGTCTGTCCTTCTGTCTCTTCCACAAGCTGTTGTATAGTTTGTGTCAGTGATGATGAGCGGGAGACACTTTGATTTGATTTGCTGGGGACAGTTGGCCTCTAATTCTGATTGACTTCCTCTTGTCAACGCTGACATCCTATGCTGTGTGCTGTGACTACTTACTTCCCTCTTGTGCAGATGTTTGGTAAGATAGCGCTGCAGGATAACACGCAGATCAACAGGAACAACAATTTCCAGACGTTCCCTCAGGCTGTGCTGCTGCTCTTCAGGTGAGGAAGATTACTACCCTGTTCATCATCATCATAAGTTTGTGCTGTTCCTCCCTCATCTTCCTCCTTCCCATTTCTCTAAATATCTACTCTTTGTTCATGGATTCAAATAAACATCTTCTGCACTCTCGGTATTATCATTCTCTTCTATTTCTCCCTTTCATTTACCCTGAAAGGTTTTGTATATTTTTACATTAGAGCTTATCACTTTATGACAGTGGTTTAATTAAATGCCAAGGTGTCTGTAAGTGTCAAGCTGTAACTTTAGTTGATTCTGTGCGAAAATGTTCTGTCAGTTTGTGCTATGAGACCATGTTACTGTCAAGGCTCCAGCTTTAAATATGTAGAAGTCATCCCCATAATATCACCAATGATCTGATGTAGATTCACCAGTTACTCAGCATCTTCAGCGGCGTCCAAACCCTGTCCACCTCCATGTTCAATAGTTAGCTAATGTTGTAAACTTGAAGTTGCTTTACCACAAAGTATTGTGGTCCACTGAGGAGGACACCTTCTGCACAATCATCACAGGACTCAACTGATAATACATTTAACTGCCTGAATCCACTCCCAGAAACCTCTCTGTCCCATGTGGTTGCGGCGATGGTAAGATTCCATGCAGGGAACAAAAAAAAAACACAGAAACTGAAAAGATGGATCACATATAATTCAGTAGTACGCATTTTAAAATGATTTGATGTTTTTGTAAAAGTTTTGCCATAAAACAATAAAACGCACCATTTCTATCCTGTCAGATTCTGGACTGTCCCCTTCATGGAATATTTCATAGTATTCAGCTTCTGTTCAGAGAGACTTGGATACTTCATGTCTGCTACTACATATTTAAAATCTAATCTATCTAACTAATAGATAGATAGTAGCAAACCCCACCAAAATGATTGCAAAAAATAGAGTTGAAAAGCTTAATAGCACTGAAGTCTGAAATCTACAGTTCAATGAAATAACAAATATTTTCTTTCTTGCTCTGTAAATTCAGTGTATCAGGACATGAATAACCTTTTTTATGCTGCTCACGCTCTAACACTTGTGTTTATGTGTGTATCTCTCCCTCTTTTTGTCTTTGTACCTATGTGTGTTACTATACGCTTGTGTGCTTATATGCATACGCGCACACATCCATGCATGTGTGTGTCAATGCATAAATGCACATGTGACTCCATGCTGGTACGCTGATGCCCACATGTGCGCATCTATGCATGTGTGTGCCTCTACATGTTTCTTTGGTGTATCTATATGTGCGCGTCTTTTCTGCATGCATATTTGTGTCGATCTGTGTGCATATCCGTGTGGGCGTGTGCGTGCATGTGTGCGTCTGTCAGATGTGCAACAGGCGAGGCGTGGCAGGAGATCATGCTGGCGTGCTCGCCCAATCGGCCGTGTGAGAAGGGCTCAACCAACGAGAACAGCACGACCAATGAAGACTGTGGCAGCCAGTTTGCCATCATTTACTTTGTCAGCTTCTACATGCTCTGTGCCTTCCTGGTGAGTTCAGAGACAGTATGAGAAAGATTTACATTTTTACTGTAACAGTGAAGCTGAAACCGGCTGACACCAGGCAGAATGCAAATAGCCTATGACGCAGTCCAGCAATATACTAGGTTTTGACTTTGTCTCTGTTACATTCAGTTTTACATTAAGTAGATTTTATAGTAATTCACTGAATGACGTTAGAAGTTATAATTGGAAACAAGCAATCTCTAATGGATTACATTGATTTTCCCCAGATCATCAACCTGTTTGTGGCTGTCATCATGGACAACTTTGACTACCTGACACGTGACTGGTCGATCCTGGGGCCGCATCATCTGGACGAATTCAAGAGGATCTGGGCTGAATATGACCCAGAAGCTAAGTAAGTCTACAGAGAACTGACCAAGTGTGTCATCAGAGTAATGATACTTTCATTAGCAGAGGTTGTGTCGAGAGTCTCTGTAATGTGACATCTGTGCTGTATTCAGGGGGAGGATAAAGCACCTTGATGTGGTGACTCTGCTCCGGAGAATCCAGCCTCCGCTCGGCTTTGGAAAGCTTTGTCCCCACAGGGTGGCCTGCAAAGTAAATACACACACAGTCCCACAAATTCCTAAACATGGTCTGAGAGTTGCAGAGCTGTAGTAATGTTTAGAGACTTAAATTTGAGTATTCCAAATGTATTCTCCTACTGTTTTTGTGCAGAATTAAGGCTGTTTGCCATGAATGATTAATATACAAAAAAATGTTTATGTAATGACATATAGACACCTGATAAACTCTTCCACAATGAGTCAAGTGGCACACTGACAACAGATCGTACATGTAGAGAAAATATTGTCCATAAAGTCAAACTACTGTCTGCTTGGTGTTAACAGATTGCTAGCTGACAGTATATATTGGCATCTGAGTGGGAAATTTACCTGTGCATCATTTTATTAATTGAGAATTTTGTGTGAATGTGTTTCACTGTGTGTGTGTGTGTGTGTGTGTGTGTGTGTGTCATCTCATGTAGCGTCTGGTGTCAATGAACATGCCTCTGAACAGCGATGGAACAGTGATGTTCAACGCCACACTGTTTGCCCTGGTCAGAACCGCACTCAGGATTAAGACAGAAGGTAACGGAAACACACACACATGAACAAACACACAAATACACAATGGTGGGCACATCATATGTACAGGTCATATGTTATTTAATTAAATGTAATGCCATCTTGCCCGTGTTTTTATGCCTCTGCGCTGTTGAGAGCTTTTTCCCCATCCAGGTTTTCAAACCAGTAACCTTCTGGTCAGAAGCCTGCTTGTGCTGAGGCTTTAACACTGGCCAGGCTGTGTGCTAATGTGGTATGCTACGTTGAAAATACTACTTTGAACCTAGAGTATGTACATTGTTCGTTTGTGTGAAGGTAACCTGGAACAGGCCAATGAGGAGCTGAGGGCAATAGTGAAGAAGATCTGGAAGAGAACCAGCATGAAGCTCTTGGATCAAGTAGTGCCCCCTGCTGGTGGTATGTACCCTCTGCAACACAGCTTCATAGTCTGGAATTTAGCTCATCTAAATTCTATCTAACAATAAGCACAAATATTGAAAAGGTGAACATTTTCAATTGTCATTACACTACACACTGTGATTCCAGTATTTGAAGTATTAGCCTATCCTAATTATGATATGTTTATTTCTTGCAGATGATGAGGTAACAGTCGGGAAGTTCTACGCTACCTTCCTCATCCAGGAATATTTCCGCAAGTTTAAGAAGAGGAAAGAACAAGGGCTGGTAGCCAAGGTGCCCCCCAAAACTGCCCTCTCTCTGCAGGTAAACAAACACGCAGGAGTTTTGTTTTCTCTTGCTCATAAATCTGTACATATTTAATACATTGCCAGGACTTTCAGTGGTAGAGTTTTGAAATTGTGACTGCGATCGCGAAATGATTAAAGAAGTGGGGGAGGGGGGTTAGTGTATGTAGGAGGCTTCTTGTTGTGAACTAAAGAACTACAGAAATACAGAGGCTGTGTTTCAGGGTTTTGACAGCAAAATAGACGTGTGGGTCACTGTGTTATTCCATGATAAGTGCAACACTTTGTGGTGTTTGGTCTGTGCGTAGGCGGGCCTGCGGACGTTGCATGATATTGGACCAGAGATTCGGAGGGCCATCTCTGGAGACCTGACAGTGGAGGAGGAGCTGGATAAAGGCCTGAAGGAGCCCGTGTCGGCTGCATCCGAGGACGATATCTTCAGGGTAAAGGTCGGATACACACACCCTCACTCACTCTCCAGAGAGAGAGAGAGAGAGAGAGAGAGAGAGCGAGAGATGATCAGCGTCCAGCTTGAAGCCACATTATTGCTTCATGCACATACACATACATGCTTGCATGTGCTCAGAGGATCAAAAAGCCTCATTTTCCACCACATACTGTAGCTTGGCTTCCAGTCGCTGCAGATACTGGAAATTTTGGGATTTGTCATCATTTGGGTTGTGAATGAACCACAAATTACAAACACAATATTATTTTACGAAACAAAACCGTTAAATCAAACACACAGTAATATTGCATCAAATAATTGAGCACTGGAACTGTAGGCCTCACACACACATACACACACACACACACACACACACACACACACACACACACACACACACAGACAGATCTTCTACTACGACTTTGCTGAGAGGGTGAGTTAAGCTAGTTACCAGCTTTCCATTTTCACCGTCATTGCTACATTCATATGCTCCGCTTTGTTTGCCACAGTATTTTGTTACATTTGAATATAATAGGTAACAGAGATAAACTAAAATAGGTGGCTCTACTTAGTTTTGAGAAACAATAACTATCTGAATAGGAATTAAAATCAGACCAATCCTCTTGTAGTTAACTTATATTAAACAATATTGAGATTTTAGAGCAAAATTTAGTGTCTGATGCATTCAGTTTCATCATTATGGCTCTATGTCAAGGATTTCATCTGTTCAAAATAAATCTTGAATGTCGTTTGGATACATTGCAAATAATACCTCTCCTTGGTTTGTCACAAAAGGTCTTTGCTTTGCATATTCATCATGGCTGAGTAAAGTTTTGTTGCTGTCAGCAGTGAATGTGACAGTCATAATTCTGAGTGTAGTAAGATATAAAGAGATTTCGACTAAGCATTATTTTAACTCCCTGTATTTTTCCTCTGTTCTCGTTTTCTCTTCTCTTCTCTTCTCTTCTCTTCTCTTCTCTTCCCATCTCGTTTCACCTTTCTGCGTCTCCATCTTTCTCTCCCTTACTTATATTTTGCCCTCTCTCCTCTCACGTCACAGCGTACGGGTGGGTTATTCGGCAACCATGTCAACTACTACAACCAGAGTGATGGCCGCGGGTCCTTCCCACAGTCCTTCACTACCCAGCGTCCCTTGCATATCAGCCAGAAGGGCTCACCTTGCGAAGGCGAAAGCCCGTCCCACGAGAAGCTCATGGACTCGACCACTTTCACCCCTTCCTCTTACTCCTCATCAGGCTCCAACGCCAACATAAACAATGCCAACAACACCGGCATGGCTGGGGTGGCAACCCAGGGCATCAGCCGATTCCCAAGCCCGTCTATAAGCACTGTGGATGGGCACACAGGACAGCCACTCACCCCCATCCTGCTGCCAAGATCTGCGTGGTGCTTTCCTCCAAAGAGGTGAGTACAGGTCAGGTAGCAGGTTACATCTGAGGATTTTCTATTATATAAGCAGTGTTTTTGAGTCTTTTATTTCACTCTTACCTACTCTTTGAATTGAGACAAGAATTATTGTTTGTTTCACTTCCTGACCACCATTACAGATATTTATCCAGCTAGCTAACATAATAAACAACATGACATTTCAGTATGGACATAATTGGTTCTTCTATGGCCTTCACTTTCTTTTTCCTTCCTTCTCTCTTTCCCCATCTTTTGTTTCTGGTGGCAAGCAGGACGTGTTTTTATGACAACCTCATGCGGTATGTTGCCAGGGGACAGAGAGAAAAAGAGTGTGTGTGTGTGTGTGTGTGTGTGTGTGTGTGTGTGTGTGTGTGTGTGTGTGTGTGTGTGTATGTGTGTGCGTATGAGTGTTGTGTTAGTCCCCTAAGTGAGTGTAAAAAGGTTTTCATAATGCTATACAAAATGGCATAGCTGTCACGGTGCTGTAGTGACACTTGTTGCCATGCACATAATGCTTTAGTTGCTATAGCAAAAAGCCAGGCTACATGCTGCTACTATAAACTCTGCTCCCAAAGCCATAGATAGACTGTTTGGTGCAACGTGGCCAAACTTTTCCTATCGAGGGCTCCTATGTTTTATTGTATTTTAAGGCAGGTCTGGGTTAGACACAACGTCAGCTCTTTGTCCATCATTTCTGTTGAAACTTTAACATGTGGAAACATCTGAAAGCTCATACTTTCAAACGACATCTGCTGTTTTGAGTAGAATAGCTCACTGCGTTTGCAGTATAATTGTTGAAAACGTAGTTAAAACACAGCACACTGCTCTGGGCTAACTGAAGTTGTGTTGTGATGGCAGTAGATACAGGGAACTAGGGTTGGTGTATCAGTCCATCTGTTTATCATTTGGTCCATCCAACTCTGGTCCAGAGCAGGCTATCTTGACAATTAGCACCTATATTTCCATGAAATATGCTTTAAATGTTAAGAAATTTGAGCTTGACCAATACTTTTGTGTATGACAAGGTGTCGTGAAAATCTTCATGGCAGCTCTCAGATCAAAGATATCAATCTAATGGGCAGATAGCCATGAAATTTGAGTAGATACATGCTGATTTTAATAGCTGTGTGACTTCCTATTAGCACCACCCTCAGGAAAAACTTGACACTTTAAGTCATAGTACTGGTAAGGCTATAAGAATAGAATTATATTCCTTCTAGGTTCTGCTTGGTTATAGTTAATGAGACAAGAGAATTTAACTCATGCTCCTACTTAGATAGTAAGTGACCTAGATTAAAGTTCTGCATTACAGACAAAGCAAAGTATAAGCTTTCCAATGCATCATCTGCACTGCATCATTTGATTTATTTAATTTAGCGACAGGATAACCTCCATCCAGCTCCCAAGTGGAGTTAGCTTCAACAAAGTCATCCAGAACAGTTTAAGTCATGTTTTAATCAAATGCTATTCTAACCCAGAGTTTGCTGTGGAGCCCTGAAAAAGCTGTGGACTAAAGGGACATCTTGACATTTAGAAATTTGATTCTATTTTTCTCCACCTGGCACTTCTGAGGAGATGTTTATGTGCTGGTGACAGAAAACGAATAAATAACAATAGTTGCATTTGTAAGTATTCCTCATTAAAAATAATGAGCACTGCTAACTACAAGCAAGTAAGCAGTTTGTTGTGACTCTTAATCTGAAACACAACCATCAACAGATGGTTTCAGGAAGCTGACATGTTGTAGCTTTTAGGCAAACAATCTGGTGAAGAAGAAAAGATTAAAATTCAAATGTCAGAATGTCTCCTTCAAGCTTAAGTCTGGAGTATGAAATAGATGTGGACAGAAAGGGTGACATGACATCTTTGCAATACAAAGAGAATACATCTTAATACAGATTACATACAGAGTTTAGATTGAGTTTGTTTCTAAGGAAAAAAACACACAGTCAACCAAGAATTTAGCAACTAAGAACAAGTATTGGCACAGCGTTAGATTGTCTTGAGTTTTCTGCTAACACAATTTTCTCCAGGTCAGCATGTCAGCATTGCATCCACTTTATAAGAGATGAGTAGAAAAGACAGCATCTGATTTCTTAGACTTTATTGGCCCTCGTTTTAAATGATGAGAACAGCATAATAAGCACCTGTTTAATTTCCCAGTAGGCCTACATTAAAAGCATTAGCATTAGCTGCTACGAGTCATCATCTTGTCTGTCCTGATCTTTGTTTTTGAAAGATGTCTGCACCTTAGTCGTGCTATCAGATTGTCATATTCCAGGTGTTGCCTTTAATGCTTTTTACCATTTTGCTTTAACAAAATAGTTGTGATTTCCACCTGCTTCTCCTTCTTATCCTCTAGCCTTTTCCTCTTCTCCCTCATCCTCTTTCCTTTTCCTACATGCAGTAGTTAAGCCTCAGTTGGCTTCTCAGTCTCTCCTCATAAGCTCCTCTTTGAGTTTTTTGCTAATCAGCTGCTTCTTTTTTTCTGTGTGTTTATGTTTACATCTGTCCTCCTATTTGTCTACCTGTTTTCCGTCTGTGGTCTGTGTTTATGTTCATTTTGTTTGTTTGTTGGCTTTTTTCGGTTGTGTGCTTGGTTGTTTGCAGCTCGGACTCAAGTGACAGCCGTCTGCCAATCATACGAAGAGGGGAGGGGTCAACGGAGGAGACTTACGATGAGAGCTATGGCGAGGACAGGGAGTACCATGAGGATGACCACTCGCTCTCCTCTGACATGTACTGCTGATGAACACCCAGACAATTTCGTTTTTATCACCTGCATGTCCAAATTTCTTTATTTATTATTTATTTATCATTAACTCCTCTTTGTGAATCTGTGTGTTCACATAAGGCTGGTGTATCACGATGACACGTGTAAGCAGTTGACTCCCATGGAGGAAGGAGAGGAGGTAGAGGACAGAAGAGGAGGAGGATGGCAGTCTCCCAGGAGAGTCTTCCTCTGCCCCACTTCTCTGGGTAAGTAGACACACACACATAGGTAAAAATCTTTCCTACCAATTGTCTGTTCATATGAATTCAGTGCCTACTTAATTTACACATTTGTGCATGCTGTGTATTTGTATATTTGTGGTGTGGTTGTCAGGGCGGAGATCGTCCTTCCATCTGGAGTGTCTCAGGAGACAGTCAAGGCCAGACGTGTCCCAGAAGACGGCTGTACCCTTGCACCTAGTACATCATCAGGTAGAAAATAATAAAGTCAAAAACACAATTAGATGAACATAAACAGGTTGTAAATGTAATATGTGAAGTTGAACTCCCAGCCGTACTGAGTTCAGCAGACATAATCCTCCCTCCCTACTACTCTCTGACTCTCTCGCTCTGCTCTCTCCTCCTCCTCCAGGCGCTGGCAGTGGCAGGGTTGAGTCCTCTGCTAAGAAGGAGTCACTCACCTACCCTCTTCAGCCGGCTGTGCTCTACACCTCCAGCCAGTCCCACAGGTATACTGCATCCTGTACACACATCAAAGGCCAAAAAGCTGTTTGTCAAGTACTGGCAAAAACGTTGTATCACATTTCCTCGGCAAGGACATTCATACATTAACTTAATGAAAAAAAACAGTTCGTTGAATCAAGAATTGCATGTTTCACTTGTCATGTTGCAGCTTTGTCATTGTACATGTTGAGACTGGGTGGTCTCTTAAATGTTGTTTCTCTTATCTTTGTTTTTCTAGCTCATGGCAGTGATGCCTCCTACCAGCGAGTGCCCTCTCTGAGGTTAGAGGGCTCCAACTCCCATGAAAAGCTCAATACCAGCCTGCCCTCTGTCAACTGTGGGCCCTGGTGAGACTAAGAACACAGACAAGAACCGCTACAAGTCACAGTGCAAGCCCAAGTAACAGTTGATATGAATGATATTATGGGTGCCATATTTTTTTTATTAAACAAATGTGTTGCCCCTAGGTACAGTGACAGTAATGGGAACAGCCGGGGGCCTAGTCCTAGTCCCACCCCCAGCGTGTCAGTGTCCAATCAAAGAGCACCACGGCCAGTGTCGCTCACAGTACCCTCACTACTGGGAAAAGACTCCAGCACGCTGTGTCACGGCAGTGCAGGCAGTCTGGTGGAGGCGGTGAGTGTGTGTGTGTGTGTGTACAGGATGGAGATGGTTACTTTCTCCTCATTAATATACCACCACCCTTTCACATTTTCTCCAACTACATTAAGCCTTTTTTGTCTCACTCCATTCCTCCATTTCTCTCATATTCCACCCCTCCCTTTTCCATTCCTCTTTTTCCCCATTTCCCTCTCAAGGTGCTAATATCAGAGGGTTTGGGTCATTTCGCTCAGGACCCATCATTCATCGAGGCGACCAAAGCCGAGTTAGCTGACGCCTGTGACATGACCATCGAGGAGATGGAACACGCCGCCAACAACATTCTCAACGGCAACACCACCACAAACGCCACATCCAGCACCTCCTCCACCTCCCAGCACAGCCCCAACGGCAACCTCCTCCCCTTCCACACAGCAGCAGCAGCAACGCACAGGGACCGAGTGGTCAGCTTGAGTCCCAGCGAGGGCGGGGGAGAGGCCGCAGGAAGCAGAGGCTCCATCCACGGGCCATCCTCTGTGGAGGAGCGGCAGGAGCTGCTAGCAGGGGGCAGAGGACGAGAAGAGGAGGAGGAAGAGGCGGAAGAAAGGGAGGAGGGGCACCACAGAAGCTCAGTTGTGATTGGAGCAGCGCGGCAGAGGAACAGCGGGCTGTTGGAGGACGAGGACATGGAGTGTGTGACGAGTTTGTAGGAGTCTGCTCAACGGGTTTGATCGGCCAACTGGCCCCTCTGACATCATCAGAGACTGACGCTTGTCAGTGCTGGGTAACAGCGCCGCGGCTGGCTCTGTCTGTCCCCACCCCTCACACACACACACACACACACACACACACACACGCACACACACACACTGTCTGCCTCTCTGCCAGACGTACCCGCTCTGGACAATGGCGGCCAGTGACACAATCTTAAACACCTGGTTACAACTTTGTTGGTTTATATGAGTTTGTATGTGCGTGAATGTTTGTAGTAAAGTGTACCACACTATACTCTATACTATCTGAGTGTATGCTTGTGTATGTGTGTGTGTGTGTGTGTGTGGATGTGGATGTGTGTATGTGTGTGTGTGTGTGTGTGTTTGGTCTATAATTTTCTCTATTTGTACGTATACGTGTACGTGTGTTCTCCACACGTGTCTGAGTGTGTCTCTAAAGTGCCTCACAGTTTTATCATGTCCTCAAAGTGTGAAGAGCAGAAAAGTAGAGACAAGCAAAAATTAGACGAAAGAAAGTATGGATGAAGGAAAGGTAGAAAGGAAACAACAGAGGCAGGATGTCCTTTTATAGACTTCCTGCAGTCAACATAGTGTGTTTATTGTTTTCATTTCCTTTGCCTACTTTGGTGTTGTGTTATTGTTGTTTGTCTGGCCGCCATGAAGCCAGGTAGGGGACAGCAGACCAGCTTGTGGGGGGGTCAGTTAAGGATTAAAATCTGACCGCACCCACTTGAGGTCAAAGGTCAACTCCTCCTTCTTGGTTCACTGATGATGAAGCGCTGTATTGAGTAAAACGGGGGGCGAGGAAAACCCTGTTTGAAATCTCATTTCTTCTCCTCTTCCAAAGCTAAGGAACCTTGGAGCACAGCCCTGCCAGCCTGGGGGTGGGATTAAGGTGACACACCACCCCCAGCCAAGGGGGGGAAGGATTTGAGGAATGGACCAACAGCCACAAGAGGGCTGCTCTAGGGGGCCACGGGCAGAGAGAGACACTCTCTGGCCAACAGGAAGCCAGCCAGCTCTTTTTTCCACTGGTCAATAAACGAGAGACAAACTCACCTCGTATGTCACCTAGATCTGGCTTTGCCTCCTACGCCGCTTTTCCTTGTTTGGCCACGCCCACTTCCTGCCCCAAACAGGAAATGGGAGGAGCATTTGGTGGCTAAGCAGAGACAGCGAGCCCCCCTGCCTCATACCTCGTTGTTCCTCAGTCCTCCCTCTCTCCTTCCTCCCTCCTCTTTGGTTGTTCAACCATCCCTCTCCCTCCATCGCTGGGGTTTTGCTTTTTCAGCCCTTGGGAAGGCGTGTGTGTGTCGAACAGGGCAACAGAGACGGCAGGGTGGAGCAGAGAATGGGAGTGACTGATTGAAAAGAAAACAGACTCGGGACGTTGATCCACACAGGATCTGTCCGTCAATCAACCTCACTTCCTTCTCCAAGACCCTCCTCTTCCTCTCAGCGTGGAATCCTATAGGATTTGCTGCCACACACTTTCTCTACAGACCACGCCCACTATGTATTTAACAGTTCAATATTGTGCAAAACTGGCTAGCCATGACTATTTTGTTTTATATTCATGATGTTATTGGTTTAATTTATCCTTGATTTGTTTGCACAATCGGGGTGCTGGTCTTATAAATGTATTTTTGCTCGGTTTATTTTAGGAGAATTTTAAGAGGTTTTAAGTATCGAAGCAGGGCGTAGAGTTTGCGTGCAAGTGTATAACTATATTTGTGCGTGCGGGTGTGTGTCTGCATTTTAGTACAGGATGTGTGTGTGTATGAGTGTGAGATAGCGTGTGTATCTAAAAGGGGGGTCTTTCTCTCTATCAGTATGCACCTTTTACAGATTGTATCTATTTATTTATTTATTTTTCCCAGAAGAGAAAAAAATGTGTGTGAGGATATGCGTCTGTGTGTGTGTGTGTGTGTGTGTGTGTGTGTGTGTGTGTGTGTGTGTGTGTGTGTGTGTGTGTGTGAGTGTGGATATGCGTTTGTGTGTGTGTGTGTGTGTGTGTGTGTGTGTGTGTGTGTGTGTGTGCGCCTGTGTTTGACTGGTTACTTATGTATTCTAAAAAGCTGATTTTAAGCCTAGACAGTAAATTAAGGTAGCATTACAAGTATGGTGTGTGTGTGTGTGTGTGTGTGTGTGTGTGTGTGTGTGTGTGTGTGTGTGTGTGTGTGTGTGTGTGTGTGTTTGAGTGAGTGAGTGATAATGGGCCTCCTTAACACAGGGTTACCATGGACAGGCATGCTTCCAAAGCTTTGTGATTTCTTTAGCACGGTTCTTACTTTTTAGCCAAGCTGCAGAGTCAGAAGCCGCTCTATCTTTGAAAATTGCATAACTGTTCTTTATATTTCTGTTCTGAGATGGTGAAGCGTAAGGTCTCCAGCGAGGTCAGAGTGACAGTTAAGTTTACAGTGGTGATGAGTTTTTGGCATTGCAGTTTGGCCAGAAGGTAAGAAGCATTTTGGCAATTTGCTGCTTTTCTTCATCATGGATGGTTGCTCTGAATGGTAGAAGCACCAAATTTGTACTGCCACAGTGACGCCCCGTGAATGACCTGGGGAGGGGGGGGCGATGCCCTGATAGCTCAGCTGTAACACACCGTAATCACATGATTTCATCATTTAATCATAGTAAAAACTCCAAATGAATTAATAGGGCTGGTGTACAGATGCTGCAAGAGTTCTAAATCACATCTCTTTGTCTGAGGTGTGCTCATACCACAAAACATTTTGACTTATTAACATTGTTAGAGATAAAGTCATTTTCTGTCTGTAATGTAATTTACTGGTAAAACTAATTACTGGAAAATTATAAAGCAAACAGGAGTTTTCTGATAATTGATAAGATCATTTTTTGGTTAATGTGATTAATTAGGGGATATAAATCAGAAAACTGTCAGAGGGAAGTTGTTTCGTGGGAGATCTCCTGGTGTGATTTTTGTTGTTGCTTTTTTTTTTTCTAATGCCTCCTCGGTAGCATGCTGACATTTTTTGATTGACCTCTCTCTGTTATAGTTTGTCCCTTGATTATAGTTTGGGTTCACTTGGGATAAGGTATGGCCACAGTATGCCATAGCCAAGTCTGGTACTCAGGCCTCAGTGCATTACACAAGTTACAGGTCTCACTTCTGTATTGTATCTTCTCCAAAAAACAAACCCATTCCAGACATCAGTATCTCATCATTGTTACCAACTGTCACATTTATTATCATTATGCCAGTGACTTTATAGTATTTCAAACTGAAATAAATTCAACACAAAAAAGTATATAAGAATTTATGCTAGCCACTGAAAACTTGGCTGGAAAACATTGTTATTGTTACCAGCACAATCCTGATGCAAAGTCGAGGTGACATGAAGACAGTACTGAAAGTCTGTATCTTACCAGACCAGTGCAGACTCACATGCAGATATATCACAATGAATCTAGTTACAACCACAGAAAGAAGAAAGTCAAACTTATGTTAGGGTTAGAGCCTTAAAAACGACACTTATTAGTAAAAAAAAACAAAAAAAAAAAACATGTATGTTGTCATAGCCTTGGACGATTCAAGAAACAGTTTTAAAAGACAAATTCAATGAATTATCTCCACCCACAGAAAGTTTCACATGTCAACTCATGGCTCTTGGTTTTCACTTTACTTCACCATTAAGGTCTCACTGCTGATTTCTCATTCCTACATACTATAATCAGAGCAGGTTTGTGGCAGGGAAGGGTATGCATGAACACACTGCCATACACTGCATCCTGTGCCAGTAACAGACTTCTGACATTATTATGCAAATTAAATGTGAATGTTGAATGTGTTTTTAGTGGCAGTGCTATTGTTGTTTTGTGGTTATGATCATACTGCAAACCCTGAAGAAGTCTGTGTTGTCAAAGGAATACCCTCCCTGACATTTAGTCTGTTGTTTTTTTTTTCCTACCCAGGCTTCATAAAAATACCTTAAGCATTTCCTTCTTCCTTTCTTCTTTTCAGCTGTAGTAACAGTACCTCATTAAAATAGGCGCTTATGATTTGGTACCATAAGCTAACAGGCTACATCAGTTTGAGCATAAACTGATTTTTTTTTTTTGGTCAGATTTTAAATCAAAAAGTTAGTAAGGCAGATTTGAGTATAGTCAAGGATGTTAATGTGTGTGCAAGACAGAATCTAGCCTCAGTGTTTTAACTTTAAGCTCAGCACAATCTCACTCTGTGCTTTGGTTTTTGTTGGATCAGCCCAGGTTAAATTTAGTTAACCCTGAATTTAAAAGACAGTAAGGGTTCTCCTCCAGGTTATTTATGCTGATTTCTTTGATAAACCTAATGACTATTATGCCTAAATCCTCAATGATAAATGTAACCAGCAGGCACCTGAATTTGTAAAGTAGTAGTTTTTGTATCCAAGCTGCTACAGCGGACCCAGAATATGTGTCTGCTTCCTGTCAACCATTTTATCATCCAGTGCAGCAGCGGTCAGGAATGTTACAGTCAAAGCAGTGTTGATAAGGAACCATGTAATGAAAGGCCATAGTTACTTTATTAAATCATGGAATTATCAAACAAAGAACCACTCTCAGACTTGGCCAAGATAAAAAATTAGGATGGGAAGGTTTCCACAAGGTTGCATAACAGATATGTTATGTTTGTTCCTTATCATCATAGTCTTAAGATGAATTATCAGTAATTACTAAACCATTCATAATGTTCAGTATCACATAAATATGAATAATGCATACCTGCACTCAGAAACTACATTCATTTCTAATCTTTTACTTTTATGTTCCCAATAAATGTTAAGTTATATTTTATACATACACACATAGAGTAACCCTGCGTATCAGAAGTGCAAAACCAGACTTTGTTGTTTGTGTTTAAAGGCTCTTTGATTTCAAACGCTGATGAGAGAGATACAGAGACCTGTGCTGCCCCCGTGTGGAGTGGAGCAACATTGCAGTTTTTATGTTCTGTATAGGTCAGCATG